CTGCTTGGAATGGGCAATGATTAGTTAGTTATCACCCACTGTTTTGTTTCTGAACAGCTCAGACTGTTGATAGATAGTTTTATGAGCAGAGTTGATTTGTCAACAGCTTGTCCTTCTGAGCTCCTGGATCCATAGTTAGCAAGATGTATCTCAGCAGTCAGACAGAAAATGACCGTGAGAAAGATGGCACCTGCTATCCAACTTCCTGACCGTTCCCTGTACTGATACTAAGATAAGCTTTGAGGATTTGCAAATCTGAGTAGTGTAAATTTTGTTTGTTTTGAGACAAGGTACATAGTCCTGGCTATCCTAACTACAGTCCAGGCTGGCCCTGAACTCACGAGATCCTTCTGCCTCTGCTCCTGGGTGCTAGGACTAAAAGCTTGTGTGGCTTAATAATGTAAATATTTTAATGTCACCAAGATCTGTGGCTAGGCTCTCCATTTGCCATTAGGGTTTATATCACAAAAGGACAGGATAGTACACGGGAGAGGATCAGTCTGAATTTGGGACAAGTGCTTGTGTAGACTGAGTCTAAAGGGTCTGAGGCTGTGGTAACAGAAGCAACCAGTCTAACTTAAGATGGTCATGTCATTTTCATGTGTGTGCTGTGGTTTACTTCCACTTTACAGCAAGATGGAAAGTTGCCTTTTGTTCCCCTGGAGGAGGAGTTTATTCTGGGTGTTTCTAAGTACGGCATAAAAGTCTCAACCACGGATCTGCATGTAAGTACATTCTAGGAAACCCAGAGTCCCAGCCTTTCAGGGTGCACTCGGGCTTGGGTCTCCTGTGTCCTGGGTGGTGGCTGTTGTTAAGCTCTGCCCATTCCTTAGGGCCAACATGACCTTCTTTGTGTTCCCAACATACATGGTGTTTCATGTAGGGACACACCCCCCTTCCCCTCCCCCCCCCTCACTGTTGGTTGGTGTAGAGGCCAGAGATGAGGTCAGTTAGATGACCTTGTTCCTAATTCTCTGGTTTAAACAGGAAAGTGTGACCCTGAGAGCAAGTCATCCCATAACTAGGCATACCATTGTTCTGAGAAACTGTAGTTCTTTCCCCCAATTCATTCTGCATGGGAAGAACATACTCCCTGAGAACTAGGAACACTGACAGCCATGCCCCAGCTTCCTGAAGGACTTGTGATCTCCACAGGGTGTTCTGCACAGGCATGCCCTATATCTAATCATCCGGATGGTGTGCTATGACGATGGCCTGGGAGCGGGCAAGAGCTTGCTGGCACTCAAGACCACGGATGCAAGCAAGGAAGAATACAGCCTGTGGGTTTACCAGTGTAACAGCCTGGTGAGACACCTTGGTTTGTTCCCGTTTGACAGGTGAAATGGTGACTGTGACTCTTCCACAGCTTCCTAAGGCCGAGGAAATGTCACCCCCACTGGCGGTCCTCAGAATTAATAAACCCCAGGTCAGCAGCTACTTAGGCAGACTGAGAACTGCTCCTGCCCAGCAACACTGATCTGGGCTGGGTCAGAGCTCGCTCCCTCTACTCGTGAGCTGCCATCTTCTCAGGCTCAGGGCATAGTATGAGCCAGTACTGTCTGCCCATCTCAGACGTTTACTGGCTGGGCAGGTGCTGATGTGTAGGTTTCCGGGAGAAGCAATGTGATGTAGTTGGATTAAGTTTCCTAGAGATGTATCATTATTTCCTTGAGAATCCCGTACAATGTGTTTTGTCATATTCGTAACATTGTATCTCTTTGTACAATGCAGGAGCAAGCCCAAGCAATCTGCAAGGTCTTATCCACAGCATTTGACTCTGTGTTGACATCGGAGAAGTCCTGAACTCTGCAGTCAAGTAGAAACTGACCCATGTGAGAACTTACCTGGTCCTGAGTCTCCCTGCTTTCCATTTGCAGCTGTGGACTATTAGAGGGTGTAAGGACCCCCCCCCCCCCAGTTTTCTGAAGAAAAGTAGTGTGTAAAATATTGGTTGTCATTTACAGTGGATTAACATCTAATAAATTACCTACTTTCTGAGCTAAAAAGAAACCTTGGGGCTGGACAGATGGCTTAGGAGTTAAGAGCACTTGCAGAAGACTTGGGTTCAGTTCTCAGTACTCACACGATGGCTCAAAACTGCCTGTAATTCCAGTTCCAGGAGAGCCGACTCCCCCCTCTAGGTTCCTCAGGTACCAGTCATACATGTGGTGTACATACATATATGCAGCCACTCACACATATACATAATAAAACCTAAAAAATAAAGAGATAAAGAACCCCCTGTTGTCTTTTTAAAATACAAAAAAAGTCTAATTAACACTGATATGTCACAGAAGTTCACTCTGAATGAGACTTGCACCCTAACCCTTCCCAGGGACTTGGGTCACTTGTGTGGTAATCTGGGTTTGGGCAGGCATAGGTTTGAATTGGGGACTTCAATTTCACATGACCTTGGAATAATGACAGCAGTGTCAGGACAAAAAGCACCCCCAGCAGAAGGGTCCTGTCTGCATAATATCCAGCGCACTAGTGTCTACATTGGAGGATGCCTGCTGGTTTTGGCAAATGGCTTTAAAAGGATCTCACAGTTCACACCCTCTGTCCAGTGCCAATAGCTAACACTTAAAGATGAAAACCATGTCAATTTAAAAAGAATTTTATTTTTTTCCAGTCAAATGTCTGGTTAAAGGGAAGTCAATTTATTAGACATGCTCTAATTATAAACCACTGCATTAAGGACAATGAAAATAATCCGTTTAGGTTATACAGTATATACAGTTGCGCTGCAACTAGACCAAAGTAATTAAGTGAATGAATTGAATATCATACATCTCAAAATAGCATTCTAGGCTGCAGGTCACTCTCCACCCTCAACAGCAACTTGACCAAAGTAATCAATCATCAAGTGAATGAATTGAATATCATACATCTCAAGAGAGCATCCTAGGCTGCAGGTCACTCTCCACTCTCAACAGATCACACTAGTCTGTGCATCATATTTCTGAGTCATCTTCCCTCCAACTCAGACCTGATGGAAAGTGGCAAAAAAATAAAAAAATAAAAAGAAGCCCGAATTCCACAGCTGACTCCTGTGAAATGTAAACTTTAAATATAAATAGATATCTACAATGCTTTCAGTTAACTTTTTCTTCTCAATCTGCAAAGAGCAAATAACTAAGAGAGGATAATTAGGAGGAAAGTCAATAGAATTTCTCTTCTGGTAAAAAGCACTATCTGTTCACGCACAATAGCACCACCAGAAAGTGGAAAAATATTACCTAGGCATTTAAGTACCAGTGAACCCCACAAGTTAGCTTGGGACTGGAGTTCAAATGTTGACATAAATCAACTGGATTCCTCCTAGACCTGTCACCGGGTCTCCAAAGACCGACAGTACAGATGCAGGGGGTGGGGAGCACTGTAAAAGAGGTACTGGGAAGTGCAATGTGCAAAATGTGTCTGTTCAAGCTCTTAAGTCTACGAGAAGTGACTGGGAGAAGGGCTCAAACGGTAGAAATTAACTAGTGAAATATAACGAGTAGTGTTCAGGGAGAGGGAGGAGGAGGGAGACTGACTTAATTATAGATCTAACACTTTTTTTTACCCAGAATCAGAAGCGTCATAAAACGTTCCAGTTTGTCCTGTTTTCTTTGAAACAAAGGGGAAGCTCCGTTCTTGTAAGAGCCTGGCACAAAGAGTAAAGACGGAGCTACTCCAGTCAAGTGCCAGCGACGGCATCCATGCCTTGTTGCCAAGCCTACACTTCAACCCATTCCTTTTGCTCCAACTCCAGCTTCTGTTCACACCCTATGCTTGCCTCTTCATCCCGAAAAAGTGACAGAATTTCCCATATCTCAACTATGACCTTTATGCTTACACTTATTAAATAGAGGTATGACAGTCAAGTTCATGAACTAATGAGTTTTGATTGTTATCAAATACAACCTAGTTCCCCTCCCCCCACACCCACATATTGTAAGTTTAAAAGTGACGTGATGGCCTTATGTAGTGCAACTGGGACCTTTGGGGCTCCCCAGGCAAGACAGATTTCTGATATGCTCTTGAAATACAAACAATTGGACAGGCTAGATTTCAAGACAGTGTAGCTACCACCACCATTCCTTTTGGAGAATCCTATTAAAGACTAAACACTAAGCTGAGCAGGTGTCCTTGGGAGCTGGGAGGGGAGACAGTGGCACGCACCGGGACACACACAGTGAGGAATGTGCTGCTTAGCGTGGTCTGCACCACGTAGTCTACTTGTGTATAGTTGCTTTCTGCGAGACGGGGAACGTTGAAGGAGGCAAATCCTAAACACCTAGGGCATACAAACTATTTAAAGGGCTGTTTTGCAATCCATCATCCTTAGTTTGTAACCAAATTCAGGAACTGTAGTTCAAGAACACTGGCACAGAACAGACTGCTAATTGCTATGTCATAATAACCCATCAGTAGTATGTTAGGTGTGACTGTTCACAACGGGTCATACATACATGCAGGAGATCATGGCGGCTGCCACCTCATAGGTCAGGGCCCAGAAAAGTACAAGGCTAACATGTAAACTGCCAAGTTGCTTTAAACAGACACTGGCTGAGTTTCAAAGGAATATATGACTTAAAGGTGAATAGATGCCATTTGTGGACAAAGTTCAGGGTAGGGCAACAGAGGAAGCAGCATGGTACTGGCCTGCTACACTGACTGTACTAACGCTAACCAAGGTCAGAACTGGCTTAAGGAAAGCTGTAAGAATCCCCCAAATTTGCTCAAGCATTTTTAGGCTCAGCAGCTCCTGGAAATGAAGGATCCTGGGTCTATAGTTAAAATAGCTTTATGTCCCCTTTTAGGAAATTCCGCTTTTCCTAGTAAAAGTATAGCAAATGTTGGGTGAAAACAACTTATAAAAAAGAATCTGTTTATACATATAAAAACTGCCTCTGAGTTTTCCAAACAGAACGGTACTATGAGAAGATGGACTGCCATACAGGACAATCCATGAGACTTGCTATAGCTAGTCTTGGTACCAAAAACAAAATGGAACGTAATGGTGATGGAAAGGCCTTTGTTCAGTAGCAAGTTAGTCAGCAATAAAGTGCACAAACGATACGGGGAATGCTCCTTTGCGGCTGGGATCTCCGTCGATGTGGCCAATCTGAAATGAGCAAGTTTGGGTTACAAACATTACAAACTCAGAGGGGCAACACAATGTCTGTTCTGAGGCATTTCTTCTGCCAAAGAATGACAGGAAAACTGCTATGCCATTTTTCCTTCCCACCTGTGCTTGCTTCTTCCACAGGCCTCACACACCCTCAAAGAGCTACAGATGAGGTCAGATGTTGCCTCTGGGCCCCCAAGAACATGGAAGACACCAGGATGCCATCTGGATCCACTTAGTATATGAATGAAGAAACTGTACCCAAAGACATAAGACTTGGCAAAAGTATGATGTGGCTCCAATCATATTTCATCTGGCTCTAAAAAATTCAATCTGGGTTAATAACACAAATTATACTCATGTATAAGCTCAACCATGGTCTGATATTAGCAAATAAAAATCCCAAAGTAAAATTGCCAAACTAACCCCCTCCCGGCAATTGCCCACTGAGAATTCTGGGTTCTCTGGAGGGGGCAGACTCTGCTGTCATGACTAACATTTACTTCTTTTGTGCCTGTCTGGGTTTTCCAAACTTTTGCAAACAGGTACTTCTCATATGGCTAAGCCTGTGTCAGGTTGGAGTCCACCCATAACATAGGATGAAAGACAGTGTGACTCCAACTCTGCTTCCTAGTGGTGGGTGTTGGTGCCCCTTGTGGAGGGGCAAGGTCGGGTTCCAGTAGCCCAGTGTTCTAGTCTCCCCAGGTCCAGCCATGTACAGGAAGTTCCTTGGCAAGTAGCAGAAGGAGCCTTGGAGCTGTGGTAATGTGGAAAGTGATGGGAATGGGCATCTTCCCTTAGTTGCTTCAAGGTGACAGCAACTGTGCCAACGCGGTGTGGCAAGGCCGAGCCACAGACCCACCATAGAACCTTGGGGTCAGGTTGCAGAAGGGGGGCTTGCAGGAGGGGCAGCTACAGATGGATCAGGTCAAACTCCTTGTGGCTGACAAGCAAAGCACTTCCCCAAGTCCCAAGGAACCTTCTGAAATACTTGGTATCTGAGCTTTGTCTGCCCTGAGTGCCCCGAGGCTGGCAGTCTCTGCCAGGTGCTTTCTATGTATACTCCATTCCACTGGTTTATTTAGACACCCGCATTCCCAGTCTACACCTAGCTTGTCCCTGCTGCTTCCCGAGGCATCTCTGCTGCAGTGCTGTGGATGACTTCCTTTCTGAGACAGTCAATCAGGTGTACAGATCTAAGCACCTGCTGCCAAGGTCCTCAGCCTGTAATCGGTTGAGTCTGAAATACAGGGTTTCTGGGAGAAGCCTAACGCCTGCACACGCTGCACTTTCACCAGCTGGATGCTGAGCAGCTTATAGCTTGTGTCGGGATCATCAAAGTGACACGAGGATGCTACCCTGGAGCCCCGCTCTCTAGAAGCCTTGCTCCACACGTTGGCAGTGGAGGGCTGTGTGTGGAAACTCAGTTCAGGTCAAGGGTGCTGTGGAAATGAAGCTCAAGTGGCCTATCCATGATAACAGTGAGGAGTTCACCTAAGGACACATCAGGCCCACTCAGAGAACGGTGTTCATACAGGAGAGACACCAGGATGTGGAAGGCATTGCACACTAATCTGGCAGCAGCACCAGAGCCAGACTGCTTGGGTTGAATTTCCCTTGTGCACAGCCACCATGGCCCCGCTCTGACTCACCCACCACTCCTGATCTTCTTCGCCGTCCACAATGATCACGTCCCCCCTCAGAGAAAGTCAGCTCATCTGGGTTGTCAGCCATGCAGTTGTAGAGTGCTTTGACTCGCTTGGGCTTGGACTTGGTCTGCATCAGAAGGAGGGAGAGGGTTAATGTGGCAGAAAGCCAAGGTCTTAGATGAAGAAGGGGCCTCTTGTCTTCTGCTTGCCTCATGAGCCAAGTACCTGGGCTAGGGAAACCCACAGAGGTCAAGCAAACAGGGACAGCTCAGTGCAGAGGAAGGGAATGGAGCACCTGGGGTCTGGCACACACAGGGACTATAAAGTGATCAGATGGCCCAGATGGCCAGCTCCCCAACCACGACACTGCACCAGAAAGAAGCCCTGAGACCTCCACCCAGCAGAAACAGAACGATTGGTTGCCTTAGAGTCCTCCATGTAGGACAGCAAGGGGCAGGGTAGCAAGCTTGTCTGCTTACCGCCTGCGACTTCCTGGGCATGGGTGCTGGAGGCTGCAGGGCCATGGCGTTGGACAGTGGACCTGGAGCTTCTGTTCAGAGAGATCCACTGCGTTAGGACCAAGACAAAGCGACTTTACAAGATACTCCCAGCTCCGTTCCATCCATTTTAACTATAAGACTACAGCTGTAAGAGTCATGGCGTTATGTCTAAAAGCAGGCTCTCCATGCCTTTTGTTGTATTGAGAGAAAAGTCCTGTACAAGGCAGACAGTTTCCTGACTTTACAGTGTGAGAAACTCAAGTTTCCAGGCCCTAACCAGGGCTGACTAGCTACCTAGAAATGCCACCTCCCCTCAACCCATGAATCAACCTGTTCCAGGTTAAATAATTACCAGGTCCTCTTGGCTGGCCTTTGTTGATCAGTGGGGTTGGCTTGTCGGTCCTACAAGGAAGGAAATACAGATTTATTGATCGCCGAGGCTACCTGTTCAGACCTTGATGAGGGGCCCGTCGGTGTTCAAGCTCATGCTTGTGATTTGCCACACCTGCTGCCTCCCCAACCCTACCCTTGAAAAAGGATAGGTCCGGGGCAAGGTGCTAGACCCGGGTCCCCAGACCAGCACTACTCTCCTGTCCACAGTGGCCCGGAGCAGAATCTAAGCACCCTCCAGTGCTTGCACTCATCATTTGCTCCTCCGGCCCCCATTGAGCCTCCATCAATCATCCTGTGAAAGGGGAGGGGCTAGAGCTTACTCTCAGGCCTGGGTGGCTCTGCCAGGGTCTGTGTAGACACCAGCACAAGTCAGCATCACCCATGCCTCTGAACTCCATGGCCCCGGCTCTGGGAACCAACAGGGCTGATTGCAGGCCTGCTAGAACCCGCATCCAGTAATCCAGTATTTCCTCTAGCTGTGCAAGAGAGACAAATAGGAGTTTTCTCACAGTTGGCAGAGGGGGCTCTATCCACTCAGACCACTCTCTCTCTCTCTCTCTCTCTCTCTCTCTGTGTGTGTGTGTGTGTGTGTGTGTGTGTGTGTGTGTGTGTGTGTGTGTGTGTGTGTGTGTGTGTCCCCGGCTCCTCAGAAGAGGGCAGGACACTAGCTTTGCTAATTCTCTAAAGGGAAAAGGGACCAGGGTCTGCAGAGAGTTAAGAGAGATGTTTTATCCTCTGTTGCCTAGGGGTGCTGGTGGGACCTAGCAGGAAGTAAGACAAACAACTGGGTAAGTGAGCCTTGGGAGGGGCTGAGGAAGCAGGGAGGCAGACTGGGGTGGCATTCTTTCCACAGCAGGTCACTTCCTCTGCAGCCCCAATGAGCCCATCTGGGTGCTGGTCTGCAGCCTTGGGATGAAGAGGAAAAGAACAGTTTAGTTGTTGTCTAATTTTCAAGGGGCTGAAAAACCATAAAATCAAAGACCCAACTTAGTTCCCATTGATTCTGGGCACATATGTCCTAGCAGACATCATGAAGCTGAGTTGCCAACTTCCTACTCTGTGTTCAGTAAAATGCTCAACAAGAGGTGCTTAACCGAGGACCACAGCCAGCCAGCCTTGCCCTCAAAGCCAGGTAAAGCAGAAGAGTCACAAGTTCAAGGCTAACCTAGGCTAATACATAAAAAGTAAAAGGCCAAATGATACATCTGTGAGTTAGTCTCTATGGCAACCATTCAGCTTTGTCTGCTAATGAGGTAGGAAGGTACCAGGGATGGTGTGTCAGCACACAGTATGCCATGCCAACAAACGTCACTTATAGGCATGGTAGTTTGAATGAGATCAGCCCCCCATAAGCTTATAGATTTGAATGCTCGGTCCCCTGTTGGTGGAAATGTTTGGGAAGGATTAGAAGGTGTGGCCTTGCTGGAGAAGGCAGGTTACTAGGGTGGTGGGCTTTGAGGTTTCAAAAGCCCATGCCTAGTGCCTTTCCCACCCCTCTCTGCCTCAGGCCTGTGGACCAGGATGAGCTCTCAGCTACCATTCCTGGGCCATGCCTGCTGCCATGCTCCCCACCCTGATGACATGGACTCTGACCATGAAACCGTGAACCCTGATAAACTCCTTCTGTAAGTTGCCGTGGTCATGGTGGCTCTTCACAGCAAGAAGACAGTAAATAGGACACAGATGCTAAAATCTGTAAGTCCCAGAAATCTCACATGCCATGAAACATTCTCATCTGAAAATTCTATCACTACATTTAAGTACAAATGCCGCTGATAGCTCGTGACTCATGGATATAAGTAATGGAGGCAGCTGGCCTGTGGGTTTGCTCTGGCTGTCTCCTGCTCCAAGAGAACAAATATATCATGTTCCAAATTATTGGGCATAGAGTGGGATGGGCTTCCTTCACAAAGAATATACACCATGTTTTCTTTTAAAATTGGAACTCTCCCAGAAGTGACAGCCTGGTTCCATTCATTGAAATCTGCCTCAGATAAGCACACCCTAACATCATCTGCTTTGTCACCCCTACCTTGCCTTTCAGTTGGATTAAAACCAGTGGGAAAGCTCATCCAACCCTAGCTTGGCTCTTGTGAGCCCTGGGGAAGTGGCTGGGAGGAGGGTGCTGTGACCTGGCACTTGCTGGCTAGTATCACTGTTCCCCTGTGCCTCGGGGAGTGCCAGGAGCCCACTGCTTCCTGTCTGGAATGTCAAGATGTGACCTGGCACCACAAAAAGCAGAATGTGGGCAACAGAGAATCCAAGAGTGTCACAAGAGGGAAGAGAAAGCGCACACAGGGACCATGACTGTCTAACAAAGGGGCCAGGGAAGCATACTTGTATAAAACTCAGCTGCCAACCTTACTTCAAATCACTGTTTAAGAATATTATGTGCAGCGTTCTAAAAAGATGTCTTAGCAAAGTAGGACACATATTTTGATTTTAAAATGCCAGGCTGCAGCCTGGGGCTGCAGCTCAGTGAAGAGCTGTGGTGATATTTTGTTTATGATCTAATAAAGCTTGCCTGAAGATCAGAGTGCTAAGCTAGCCATAGCCATGGAGGCCAGGCAGTAGCGGCCACACCTTTAATCCCAGCACTCAGGAGACAGAGGTAGATGGATCCCTGTGAGTTCAAGGCCAGCCTAGGCTACATGAAAATGAATTAGTCTAAAAGAGAAACAGAGCTCACACCTTTAATCCTAGTACTTGGGATCCCACGCCTTTAATCCCAGCTCTAGGGAGGTGGGGACTGAGAGACACGGCTGGGTGGAGAGAGGACAACTAAGGTGGGAAGAGACAGAACTCATTGCAGAGGGCAGTCTAGTCTGAGGAGCAGTGCAATTTGGAGATGCAATCAGGGGACACGACTGTCCCTCTGGTCTGAGCACTGGTAGACATGAGAACTCTCTAGAGGCTTGCTGCTTTGCTTCTCTGGTCTTCAGCTCTAATCCCAATATCTGTCTCTGGGTTTTTATTATTTGTGCTACAGTTTGACTTACCATAAGAATGGAAATGGAAAACTTAAGAGTAAAATTGGGAAAACTCTCTGGATATATATATATATATATAGTGTTCTGCCTGCATGTGTGCCTGCAGACCAGGAGAGGGCACCAGATCTCATAGATGGTAGTGAGCTACCTTGTGGTTGCTAGGAATTGAACTTGGGAAGATCAGCCATTGTTCTTAACCTCTGAGCCATCTCTCCAGCCCCCTGGAAGTATATTTTTTATAGGCACAGAAACAACACAGGAATTGAAGAAGATGGCAGAATGGCAACTAAGGAGGAAACCGACTCACCCATTTGACTGCTACACTATAGAGCCCGGCTGTAGGCATTCCAAGCCCTGCCACCAGACCCGCTTTGGTGAAAGGTATGAGGAGCTAACGTGCTGCCACCACCACATTTTCTCTTTGAAAGTGACTCAGCCCCAAAAGATATCAGGGGAGGAGGCAGAAAGATACGGGGCTTTGAGTCTGAGGGTCAATCAGGGGTGTTTACCCAGATTTCACCTCTGGGATCTGGGGGAGCTGTCAGATCTTGGGTTATCTGATAAAACTAAGATGACGTATTTAAAGGAAAGGCCAATTCAGCCTGACATCTGAGAAGTGGGAATTAGATTAAAAGAGACAAGCATCCAGACAAGAGGTTTGTCAGAACCAGGCAGGGGAAAGGACAGGCTGCGGGTGAGTGACCTGGGTGACATGAGGAGGCAGGGGACGCCTGGCCTGCACTGGTGGGGATGGGCCTAGAGGCTGCATGTCTGCTGGAACTGGATTTGATCCAAGCAGGGAAAGAAGGGTTCATCTTTAGGACTGTTGGAGGCGGAGTCAGGAGTATGTTCACGGGAAGGAACGATAACATTACTGAGCATAGGAGCCAAAATTCTCAGCTCTGAGGAAGGAGTAACAAGTGTGGGATCTGAGAGAATGAACATGCAGCCTTGCTGTTTTGTGTCCCAACAGAACCCTCTACTACACATTCAGGCCCAGCTTCCAGCACCATTCAAGCAAATAAAAGGGCAAAAGTAACGTGTCCTGCCCTGCCTTGGGCCTTCCTTGGGCCCAGGCCCCATGTCTTGAGGAAGTCACACCACCTCAAGAGATCATCTGCATGTGGGCATTGTGGTCAGCAGGCTGGCTCAAGTGCTGCTAAGGCAGCAACAGCTACAAAGGCCACATGACACCAGCCTTTACCAGGCCACTTCCATCCTAGGGGGTCTCAGCTGCGACAAAGACAAACTGCCCCACTGTGTCACCCAATCCTGGTGACAGGACTTGTGAACGGTGTGCCTCAGAACATTAAGTACTGGCCCTGTCTCTGTGAGAGAAAGTGGAGATGCTGATATGAACACCTGGATCCCAACAGAGAAAGCTACAGAATACAGACAGAGGGACATTTGTGTGCATATGTATCCTGTAGCTCTGAGCACATTATCTTCTACCCAGACCTCATGGCTTAACAGCGAACTCACAGAGAAGACTGAAATGAAACCTATTTTCTACTGTTAGACATAGAATAAGACATTTAGAGATGGGGGTGGCACTGCAGAGATAGCTTAGTGGTTCAGAACACTGGCTCTTCCAGAGGACATGGATTCGGCACACAGCACCCATACTGTGGCTCACAATCATCTTTAACTCCAGTTCCAGGGGATATGACGCTCCTTTCTGGCTTCCTTAGGGCACCAGATATATACGAGGTACACAGGCACACAAGCAGGCAAAATACCCATACACATAAAATAAAATTAAAAATTTCTAAATGCTTTAAAAAAGGTAACAGGGGGCTGGAGAGATGGCTCAGAGGTTAAGAGCACTGACTGTTCTTCCAGAGGACCTGGGTTCAGTTCCCAGCACCCACGTGGCAGCTCCCTGTGATTCCAGTTCCAGGGGACTCAACACCCTCATACAGAAGGCAAAACACCAATTCATATAAAGTAAAAATAAATTATTGTATAGAAAAAAATAAAAAAGGTAACCGGATCCCTCTGCGGTGTGTGCACGAAGGAGAAAGCCCTTGTCTTTAGGAAACATCAAACCGGCACATCTGTGGAGGAGACATGCATTCAGGATGTTTCTAGGGAGCAAAACAGAACCAACAGAGGGCTCCAGTCATAAGGACTTGACTCCAAAAAATCCCAGTGTTAACACACAAAAAAATCTAAATTAATTCTTCGGTTTAAGATCTAAGTTTGTAATAGATCTCCAGCTAAAAACCTCTTCGAGGAATTAACATTAAGAGCCCTGAGAGCTGATCAGCAATTTACACAGCACTTGGCCTCTCACCCTTAGGATGGTAGAAACACAGGAGATTTCCAAGGTTCACACAGAAGTCCCAACAGATGAAGAAAAGAGGACAATGCCATTGGAAGCCCTCTGAATGTGAGAGGCAATGTTGGCTGCTGTGGCCAGGCACAGAGGCCAGGCAGGGACAATGGTTACCCACCCGGAAGATGGCTTCTTCTGAGGTGGGCGGCTGGGCGGCTGAGGTGGCAGCTTGCTCTGCGAGGCTCCGGGTTGGGTGGGCTTGCTTGGCTGGCTCACAACATCTAGTGTGCCAGAAGTCTTAGCCACAGGAGGGGGTGGTGTGGTGGTCAGGGGATCTGTAGAGAGATAACGGGGAGGGAAAGAGATAGTGAGCTCCCTAGGTCACAGGTCTCAGACCTAGTCTCTTTCTGGAGCCTCCTCCCTTTCTATGGTCCTTCTGGGAACTCCTATGGCTGCTTCTCAGCTTGTCTCCTCAGAGAGACTGCAAGGAGCAAACCATCAAGGAAATGGAGCCTCAGCTGCAACTGATTTTTTGCTGTGACCTGTGTGTGTTTAGTTGGAAACCTGCGCAGGGCCAGCCCTGGATTCTTCCAAACCAGCAGGACAGGTTGGGATCAAGCCTGGCATCTGCCCTGGGGTACCCAGAATGCTTGGGCCAGGGTTCTTCTTGCATCAAATGACCCAGAAGGGAACAAAAACCTATGCACCCCACTGGCCTGTAGGGGGATAAGCTCTAAGGACAAACTGTGACAATGGACGTAGTATGAGGTCCCCAGTCTGAGGGGAAAGGAGGTTTCTATTACTATCTGCATCATCCAGGTGACAGGCTCAGCCTCAGAGGCAAATTGATACTGCCAAAGTAGGCAGAGCTCTAAAAAAACAAAACAAAACAAAACAAAAAAACACCACCAGCAGAGGATGAGATGTCATGCCTGGGCCTTCCTTTACCCCACCCATCTTAAAAATAACAGCACCAGGCCCTTGTCAGTGGCCCCCCTCAGGATGGGAGCAAACATATGTGGAACAAGGACTATGGAGAGGGGAAAAAAAACCCAAAAGGTTCTAGTTTATGGCTCCTTCCCCTCACTCTTTCCTTTTGTTTTGACAGAAACCCCGGGCAGATTAACCCAGGAGCACCATTATAGAGGCAGGAGGGAGAGCAGATTTGAGTCCTTTAATGCTTGGCCTGAGACTACTACAGCTGGACCCTGCCCCACATCATCCTCTACAGAGCTTCCTGGACATGCTGTTCTGCCACTGACAGGGTGAAAAATGTTGGGCTCCACAGCAGGAGAAAGGACCCTTGCCTCTGCCCAGCTCCTAGCACTGGAACTGCCAACCACACACTGGCGTGGAAGGTTATCATGCCAGGTCATGAAATGGCCACCCCAAAATCACTATGCAGCGAAAGGGACTGGAAGTACGTTGTGTGTGTGGGGGAGGGGTGTTTTTAAAATGCCCGGTAAGACAGAGACGAGTGAGCCACCTTGGTGGGGGGTGGTGAGGGAATAGACGGAGGTTTGAGATGGAGGCTGCAAGGGTTAGGGCCACAAGGGCAACATCTACTATGCATCTGTGAGCAGCCCACAGCTATATCCCCAAAATGGCTGCCAACAGTGCCCCCTTTTTTTCTGGATTCATAAGGCCCACTGGCAAGAAAGGAAAAAGGAGGAGAAAAAAAAAAAACGTACTGGTAGATGTCACTCGCAGAGGGGGCAGCGGTGGGTGGACAGCTGGCAGATCTGACGAAGATCGCTGCCTGCTGACACCGTCCACACCTACAGAGTTTGTCTTCCACAGGGTGTTAGCTGAGGTGGCTGTCTGAACTAAACCCACACGCATACACACATGCACACACAGGCACACGCACATACACACACACACACAAAACAAAAACAGAAACAAAACACTTCGTTATTGATCCTCTCACCCATTAAAAGATCAACATGAGCCTTCTAGAACAGCAACAGAACCCTGAGACTCAAGTCTTTTCTCTAGTAGGAAAAGTGAGATGCATCCAAAACCAACAATAATAATAAAATAATAAACTGCTACAGGGAACTCTCACAGGTGGCCTTTTCAATTTGATGGTGAAGGAGGAACTATAGCCATAAATCTAATGAGTACTGCACTCTGGGCCTATGGAACATCTCTGCCTTCTATTACCCTCCTACCATGGGCCACAGAGACCCTGTCCTCAGAAAGTGTGGGAAGAGGAAGGAAGGGTGTGTCCCACACATGAGGGGCGGGGCTCTCCCCGGCCCCCTGTAAAATTCCTGCCTGGAACCCAGCACATATGATCTGGTAGCTCAGTAGTATCAGGTGACCCTCAAAGCCATGGCACTTGCCTGGTCATGTTCTTTCTCACCGTGTGCTATTTACTCAGATGCACAGGGGTGTCTAGGGGAGGGCTGGGCTTGGCAGTGTGGAGACACACCCTCCCAGGCCAGCCCAGGGCTGACAGGCAAGCCTTCACATTTGCCTGGTAAGGAAGTTCTGCACCCCAGGGTGAGCCACAGGGCAGTGTTAACTCTATCCCCCACCTCAGGGTGCGAGAACTCCATGTTCATACCAAGCTTGGACTCTAGGACAGGAAAGGTGTAGGGTACTGGTACAACTTTCCTCATGTGAAAATGGAATGGAGCTAAAGACAGGATGGCCCAAAAAAGTGGGAGAAGCAATCCCTGTTTCCAAAACTGCAAAAAGTCAAGATGAGGAGCTGACCAACCCTCTCCTTCCATCCAGGGGGAGTGAATGAAGTCTCTGCTGTCACAGAGCCAGCACAAGTTACTCCTGGGAATGCCAGGATCACAGAGATACCCAGTCTCTCTGATACTGGCCTTTCAGAATTAACACAGGAGGTAGGAGCTGTGAGATGCCCACAAGGACCTGCACTGCCCTGGACAGCCTGTAGGAGGTGACAGGGAGTGCTTGTGATGTCCAGACGAGTTAGGTGGGGGTGCCGGTATGAGCAGGGGGTACAGGGTCTGATCTTCATTCTTTTGCTCCTTACTGACTCACCTAACTTTTTGGGCCTCCCTGAGTGTTAGGGCAGGACAGTTGACACATGTGGTGTGTGTGGTCTTCTAGCACATTTGATCTTCTAGCAACTCAGTATACCCAGCACCACCTCACACTGCCCACCCGTCTTCCAGTTGCCAGCTATTGGAAGAGACAATTTGCAATGATTTTATGCATGGGAAGTGGAAGCCACTATTCTTTCCAGGGAAGTCCCTCCTTCACTCTGAAGGCCCTGAGGATTGGCAGCTCTGGCAGAGCTGGCCATTTGCTGGCCACTTCAAAGAGCAGAATGGCCCACTGGTCTTTACTATCACACAAGCGGTTCCATGTTTCTGTACTTGTAAAAGCAAACAAACACACACACACACAAAGAGCCACCTTTTGGGTGGGTCTGCTATGTTCAGGTGAGGTAGTTTTGTGAGTTTGTCACACTTAAGATACCAGGAAGGCTCACACATTGGTGTTTTCACAATTAGGCTGAGCACTGTTCCCCAAATTACTACGTTTTGCTCCTCATTTCAAAGGTATTCTAGAGACACTAAGTCATCACAGCACTTTAAACTAGCCCTGAGAAAGAAGAGAGGGAGTAATCAGGACACCAAAAGGGACCAAGTGGGGACCGGATGAGAAGAGCAAGGTGGGAAGGGCAGAGGGGCAGCTGAGCAGCTGCAGGACATCATTCTAGCTTGCCCAGGGCAGCCCTGCATTACCCCGTGCACACCTCTGCCAGAGTAAGAACCCAGGCACAGGCTACAGGTTTGGCATGTTAAAATTATGGGAATCCCTCAAGGCAGCAAACGGAAAACAGCTACAAAATAAACACCCACGCATCAAACTTCTCGAAGTCAGAGCCCGTGGGCATTTTCAGGGGTCTCACCTTTGCCACCAACATTCCGAGGTGGGAGTGGGGGTGCACTGGTGGTGCTAGGGGGTAACGATTGGGAGGAGGGTGGGCTGCCACTCAGGATGGCTCCATAGGTCTCATTCTGCAAGATGCTAGGCCCGAAGCCCCTCTGCTTGTCCTTGGCGAGGTTTGTGGTATCTCTGGCCAAAGACACGGCATTGGGCTGGAACTGGCTGGACCCCAGCTGGTAGAAACTGACCGGGCGGTCTTCGCGCCGGTTAGGACTGGGCTGCAGAGGAATGCCAGGGCAAGAGCGTGAGATGCAGCTATGGCTTTGTCCTGGTGATATCAACTCAAAGAAGCAGTGAGGCGCACCCATCACTGTTGCATGGTGGGCACCATTTCGGCCTGACAAACACACACACACTGCTGCATTTGAGCTGCAAGACTTTAAAAGCCACTCAACTCACCCAGTGTCTTATAATTACGACACACATCTCTACAGAGCCACGGTTCACTAACTGCAATTCTTCCTTCTGTGAAGAACTTCAAACAGAAGCTATGTCATCGTACCAACCAGCTACCCCCGCCTAGCTCATGCTGTCCTTGATGTCCCCTTCCCTAACACTATCTTATGGGCCAGAACAGCCCTGGCCACCAAGCAGCAAAGGATCTCCAGCAGCACCATGCTTAATTCAGCACACGTCAACAGGTCCTTTTCACATCCCTCTGTTGAGATCCCAATAAATCAGGGATCAGTAAGTCCTGATGTCTGCATTGTCACTTGCTTTAAAACATAGTCTGCTCTTTGTGTATGTGTGCAGGTGTATGTGTAGAGGTCAGAGCACTGTAGGGCTCGGTTCTCTCCTTCTACCATATGAGCCCCAGGGATCAAACTCAGATCCTCAGGATTGTCAGGAAGTGCCTTTCTGTGTTTATAAATAAAGATTTATTGAGATGCAACCATGTCCCATCACTTATATATCTGTTCTGTAGGAAACAGTAAGTACAGATGCTAAATGCTTTTCCATTACTGATGGTCCAACAGCCTTCAGAAATGCTTCCGTTTCTATCTATTAATCATGTTCCATTTCTACCTATTAATCATCTGTTTATACTTCACATTGAATACTGAAGTCCTAGCCAGGCGTTGGTGGCACACACCTTTAGTCCCAGCACTTGGGAGGCAGAGGCAGGTGGTTGAGTGGTTCCTACATGGTGGTTTCTAAGGTAAACATGACCAGCCACAGAAACAGTGTCACCGGCTTGCAGGTGTACAATGGCTCCACAGCAAGTGGGGTGCTCTTCCCCAAAATCATATAACCACCCGTTCCCTTCTTCCATCAGTGTGGGCTACAGGCAGGGAGAGAAACGGGAAGGGGAAGCCTGGAACCCACCCAGATCATAGAACACACAAGGCATCAGGCTACAGAGCTGTTGCATGAAGGCAGGGAGACACAGACCTGAAGTTTCTCATCCACGTCATCGTCGCTTTCGTCCAGGTCCTCCTGTAACAGTCGCCATTCATATTCGACGTGAACGTGGGAGTTAAATCTTCCTGACAAGGCCTGAGTCAGCTAGGAAGGAGGATGAACAGTTAGTGCTGCTGTCCCCACGCTCAACTACAAATGACAGACGCTCATGGGTGTCCAGACCAAGAGCAGACAGGTCAGGGAGGAGGGCCTGGAGGACTCACAGGGAGGATCCACTCATTGAATGAGGGTAGCTCATTGAAATCCTTGGATCTCCATGGAAGGACCTGTACCTGATGCTCAAGGTGACCCAGACCCTTAAAGCTGCCTGTCAGTGATGCTCTGGAACCACAGTCTGACACACAGGCAAGGGGTTTAGGGACCTAAAAGGTGATGACCATCTTTTATAGGTATTATTAACACAGCATGGGCATCGCCTGGACCTCAGAAGAAACGTGTTCGCTGCCAGGTCAGTCTTCTCACAGTAAGAGAACCGACCCTTTCTTCAATTCTCCTGCAGAAAGTGGCTGGCTAATTCTACTCCAGCTGTACAGGGGGTGCGTCAATTTACTATCTGTATTGGTGTTTGGGACTTAATTGTTCCCAAGAGCCAGACAGCTGCTGTGTGACTTTGGGTGAGTCACTTGACTCTTCTGTACTTGCTTCTTCATCCAAAAACTGAGGGATCAGAGATTTTAAAAACTGATGGGTAGCATCTACACAAGCATCTTTTGTGTGGCATTAAGAGTCCTGAGGGTTCTGTACTTACTGTATGCCCTCTTTAAAAAAATTCAACAATTCTGATAATCCTGAAAAGGGGTACAACTAACTCAACCTCATCAAATGAGGAGACAGCGTGGGTATGTCTCCAAGCTGTAAAGAGGCACAGCCCACTGCAAACCCAGGATGGCTGAGGCTGCAACTCCCTCCACTTCCATAACAGCAGAGAGACACTGCACAGACTGCCCTGCATGCTCCAGGCTTACGGACAAAAATAGGAAAGCCAGTGGGACACACCGTGGCAAGAGCTAGGCAGTCAAGGGTACCATGTATGGAAACCTATCCTTTACTACAGATGCCTGAGGGAGGAGCCAGGGCTACTATCATGGCTGATAAGCACATACTGAGTCACAAGTATCATCGCAAGGGGGTGGACAGCTGGTTCTCGAGGGCTCCTCCAGGCCAGTGGGTACTTGGCTTACCCCAGGAGGTGTGGACTGTTGTGTGTGCTATGCCTTTGTTATTGCTGTCCAGGGAGATGGGCTCTACTCTACTCCCCCCCCCCAACTCCACATCCCGGTCATCTGCCCATGGTAGGTGCTCACCAACTCCTCACAGTGTTCATGCTTGAGCCGCTTGGCGATGTCCAATGGCGTCTCTCCCGACTCATTGGCTGAAAGTCAAGGGAAGGTAAGTAGGCAGCAGAACTAGGTGTTATGGTTTTCATGTAAAGCATCCCCCAAGACTCAGATGCCGAATCTTGCGACCTTGCTGGTGGTGCTACCGAGGTGACTGCACCCGGAACTTAACTAAGTGTTTCTCAGCCTTTTGTGTTTTATCTTTCGAGAACTCTTAGTTCTTTACCCCACTTCCTCTTTTCCCCCTTTTGAGACAGGGTCTCTATGTAACCCCGACTTTCTTGGAACTTGCTATGTAGGAGAGAGAAGCTGGTCTTGAATTCACAGAGAACCACCTGCCTGACTCCTGAGGGCTACTATTAAAGACATTTGTCACAAGGCCCAGTTTGTACCTCATATTTTTCATTAGGTTGTTTTTCTTCTTCTTCTTCTTCTTTTTTTTTTTTTTTTTTTTTTTGGTATTACGAGACAGGATATCTCTGTGTAGCCCTGACTGTCCTGGAACTCACACTGTAGACCAGGCTACAGAGTGGATCATGAAGATCCCCCAACCTCTGCTCCTGAGTGCTGGACTAAAGGCATGCACCACCAGCGCCCAGCTAGGTTGTTTTAGGACTTTGTATATTCTAACAGAGACTAACCCTCTGTGAATGTATAATTGTTACAGATCTCTTCTCGTTCTGTGGCCTGCTCAGATAATGATCTCCTTTTTCAGTTTCTCGAGGTCCCACTTATTAATTGTTGGTCTTAGTGCCCGTGCCATTGGTGTTCTGTTCAGAGAGTCCTTTCTGTGCCCATTCCCCCACCTTCTCCCCCACCTTCTCCCCCACCTTCTCCTCTATCTGGTTTTATGTTGAGGGTATCAATGGATATACGAGGCCTCACTAGAGGAAGTAAGTGAGGGGGGGGGAGCACACCAGTGAGGGTGTATTTTGTCCCTGTCCCTCTCCCTCCCACTTCCCAACTGTCTCAAGGTGAGCGAGCAGCTTCCAGCTCACGTCAAGGCCAAAGCCATGAAGCCCAGCTGGCCTCAGACGGACACCAGGAGTCATAACCAATGTCCCCTCCCTCAGACTGATTTCCTCAGGTGTTTGTCAGTGATAGAGAGCCAACCATCGTACTCAGGGCGAGCCTGTTTATTAATTACTTCACGCACTGCTGGGATGAAAACACCCGACAAACTACTCAGAAGAAGGGAGGGCTAATTATGGCTCCCACTTTGTGGGTAGTCTTGTGGTAGGAGGGAGGGCATGGCAGCAGCAGCATGAGGCAGAGGGTCACATGGCACCCACAGTTGGGAACACAGAGATGAGTGTTGGTGCTAAGTTCATTTTCTCCTTTCAGTAGGTCCAGGGCCATAGCCCAGGGGATACTGCCATCCATAGTTACAGGGACCTTCCCATTAGAAGCGCCCTTGGAGACATGCCCAGAGCCTGGTTTCCATGGTGATTCTAAGTCCCATCAAGCTGATAATGAAGACTATCTCAGGTAGTAACGTAACACCTCACTAAAGTAAGCCGGAGTCATGGGATGCAGTCAGGTTAACCTGGGCAGAGCTGGCTCGCATTTAGTTGTACAGGATACAACAGCGTAGAGAAGCTATGACTTTAAAAGAAAGGATTGAGCTACCTAAGAACTGTTGAGGCAGCCAGCTCACTAAAACCACGACCCCAAGGACAAGCTATCTAGAGAGCAAGTGTGTGGCACAGTGAGTGGCACCCACCCCCACACTAGAAGACAGTGAGCCCTGTAGGTCAGACATCTGACTGAGCTGGTGCTTTCTTCTCTGCAAGTCTCTGTCAACAAGGTTCAGCTTGGTGTTTACCCCTCACCCCTTCTTTTTAAATTCAGACAAGGTATCTCTAAATAGCTGGGACTCGCTGGAGCTCACCATAGAGACTAAGCTGGCTACAAACATACAGTCATCCCCCTGCCTCTCAAATGTATTTACCACAACTCCTGGATTGATTTGTTTTTATAAGTGTAGCTTTCAAACAGAATGTATCTTTACATCTATTTTTTTGTTTGGTTCAGTATTTCTCCAAAGTACTTCTCCAGGAACCAAGCACAGCTGGATGGCTCAGGGTGAACTGTACATTGGCAGTGTCAGCAGGCCAAGGACCCACAGCTGAGGGGAAACAAGGGCAGGGGGGTATTAGGATTTGTTCAGGACTACAAATAAAGGGGGCAGTGACAGCACCTCCTCTGTCAAAAGGCTTATTCTGGGGGGGGGGACCAGAGTTGCTACACAGGTTCATCTAGATTCGCCCAGCTCAGGGCTTTGGCATGGCTGCAGGTGTGGCGGGAGGCGAAGACAGACAGGCAGGGCAGGGCATTTCCCTAGTATGAGAACTGCTTCTAACACCTGAAGTGCAGAGCTGCAGAAAGGAGCCCAAGGGAAGCCAGCAGAGCCACCTGCACCCCGGCACACCCTGGGCAGCTTACCTATCTCGATGGAGGCCTTCCCCCCGCAGGGAGGAGCTTGAGGCACTCCGCATTGTCGGTCAGGCAGCAGTAGTGCAGGGCCGTGCTGCCCTTGCCCGTCTGTTTATCCAGGTTCCCACTGCTCGAACACAGACAGAGAAAGATAAAATAATAGTCACAGGCAAGAGGACAGCTGCCACGGAGACTGGGGGAACGACTTGTGAATCGGCAACAAACAAATTATTTATGGAACTCATCCCCACAGCGAGTGGGCACCACTGTGAGGGCAGTCGGGGAACAGGTCATCTCAGAGAGATGCAAGACAGACCAACAAGAAATGGTGGCTGTGTTATTCCTAAATTTGGGTCAGAGCAGTGGTTCTCAACCTGTGGGTCGGGACTCCTTGGTGATCGAATGACCCTTTCACGGGAGCCGCCTATCACGTACCCTGCATATCAGATATTTACATTATGATTCATAACAGTGGCAAAATTACAGTTATGAAAAAGCAACGAAAATAATTTCATGGTTGGGGGGCACCACAACATGAGGGACTGTATTAAAGGGTTGCAGCATCAGGAAGTATGAGAACTAGGTTAGAGGAAGGTATACCCCTTCCCTCTAGGCCTGTGGTACCCAGAGCACAAGGTGGTACCCACTGTTCAGTCTATACAACCTGCCCCTTGTCACACCAGAGAAGCAAACTTCTCATTTGTCCCTTTTCTTTCTTCCTTTAAAAATTATTTTATTTTATATGTATGGTATTTTGCCTGCATGTATGTCTGGGCAATATGTACATGCCTGGTACCAATGGAAACCAGAAGAGGGCACCGTAAGCCCTAGGAATGGAGGTATAGATGGTTGTGAGCCACCATGTGGGTGCTGAGAATTGAAGCCGGGTCCTCTGGAAGGGCACCCAGTGCTCTTAACCTCTGAGCTATCCCCCCCCCCCCATTTTGTTTCTTGATGTTTCCATCAGGGAAGGGAACACCACTGTTGAGTTTAGTGTTGCAGGACTCCTGCAAGCCTGCTGGCCCTAGGCCAGCACCCTGCAATGGGTGAAGGGGGATACTTCGGAAGATTTTCACTTGTTGTTCTATTGTGAACAAGACCAGGAACATATGTGATAAAATCAATTTCCATCCGAAGTGTCATCACTGCAGAAGAAGGCCAGGGGCACCCGCTGCTCCCAGCAGAAGGAAAACAGCGCCTCGGTGTGGGAAGGCTCAGACCCCCTTCCTTTCCTTTCTTTGTGCAACGCTCAAGATGGAACTTGGGGTTCACGCATGTGAAGCAAGCACTTGCCACTGAGCTTACCCCAACCCGCCTATCCTAATGCATGCTCCTATCGCTGACTTCACTCTATTTCAGACTGGGGAGGGGGAATCAGGCTGCTGTCCCAGGAGCATTTATACAAAGGCAGAGACACAAACTGGCTACTTATTAGATGTCCAGCATTCTACATCAGGCCTGGGCTGGGCTCAGAAGACACAGTGTCTAATTGACTCAACCCTGAGTTCTGTGAACTTTGGTTTCACAGGAAGCCACAGATCTTAGGGCTGATGATCCTGCAAGTCTCTCCTATTCTCCAGCTACATCTTCACTCTATCGCCTGGGGATGCAGGGAGGGGCAGAGGCCACAAACATAAACCATTCCCTGTTGCTATCATACTAGAATTTCCCATTCCACTTGTAGCATTTAACCAGCACCCTCTGCTCCAGCACAGCCAATCCCAGCACAATCGGAGAGTCACGGTACAAGCTGAAGGGTCTTGGAATGTGGCTTGAAGCCACCAGGCAGGGGTTCAAACGGAGGTGGCACACACTGAATAACAGGGACTCCCAGGCAACACAACAGGCGATTCTAGTCAGCGATTACAAGCAGCCTCTCAACCCAAAGGAACAGACCTTCACCCAGTGTTCTGAAGCAGTTTCTGGCGTAGGCCAGGGGCTAATGCATCCTTACTTCCTCATAGCTCTCTGCTATTGAGATGTTGTGTGTGGGCTGATAGGGAAAAGACCCATTCAAATGACAAACCAGAGAAATGCTCATGTCACAGCTGATGACCCTGGCCCCCACACATGGTCTTCCCCAGAGCTGGGAACTGAGCAGCCATGGCTCCCTGGAGTGTCTTCTAGACTCTAGCTACTGGATCTTGCAGGTACCATGAAGGCCTTCTGTTCTCACACACTAGGCTTTACTAGGGAATTCCCATAATTCATATTTAAACCCGAGACATGAGTATCTTGGCAACAGAGACCCAGTGGTGGAGACAGCATCTGGTCCCTTCCTGGGAAGACCCAAGAATAAGATGAAAGGTACCCACTTAGTGCGACACCCACCTGTTCTGGACCAGGAAGTCCACGATGTGAAGGGAAGTCCGGTCCACAGATCTGACTGCAAGATGGAGGGCTGTCTCATCTAGCTCCTGAAATTCAAACCAAAACATTTGGAATTCATTCCTGTGGCATTGTTTTTAACCCAAGGACCATCAAGGTAAAATGGCATGTTTCTTCCGAGGCCTTTCCCCAGTACAGAGTACCCACTTTTTAATCTCCACAGCAAAGGACATATGTAGTGGTTTGAATGAGAATGGCCTCCCTAGGCTCATGTTTGAATACCTGGTCCCCAGTTAGTGGAACGATCTGGAAAGCATTAGAAGGTGTGGCTTTGGTGGAAAGGGTGTGTCACTGGCCCAGGGTGTGGGGGTGGAGAGGCGGAGTAAGGCTTTAAGTTTTAAAAAGGATTTGTGACATTCCCAGTCCAGTCTGTCTGTCTCTGCCTTGTCTGTGTCTCAAGATGTGAGCTCTCAGCTACTGCCCCAGCACCAAGCCTGCCTGCCTGCCGCTGTGCTCCCCACCATGATGGTCACTGACTCTAACCCTCTGAAACTGTAAGCCCCAAACAAACACTTTCTTCTATAAGGAGCTTTGGTCATTGGTGTCTTATCACAGAAATAGAAAAGTAAGATTGGTCCTTCCCTCCTTACTCACAGGGTGTGAGAAATACAAGGGATTTCAAATTCAAGTCATTTCAACTGTGTCCCCAATCCCTACAACAACACCACAGGGAGAGAGAAGGTGGATGGGCGGGTCAAATAAGAGAGGGGAAAGAAAAGCCCAACATGTAGACGGCATGAACAGGGTGGCTGCCTTTCTTCCCACCTGCTCAGTCCTCTGGGCAGTACAGGCACATCCTGCCCTAGCCATGGGGCTTGAGTCGTCTCCCGACAAAGAATGAAAGTGACAGTGGCTAACGTCTAGGAAGAGCCTGTGCCACCAAGAGAAAATATTGTTACCCTATAATGTTTCCTCTCATGGGATCTGGCTAAGCCTAGGAGTTTGGGTCCAAACATGATGGACCCACCTAGTACATAACCATACAGGATGGTGGAGGCTCTTTGGACACACCCATGGGGACTCTGTCAGGAAACCAGGACACTCGACAGCTCCTCGAGTATCAACAGTACCACTGTTGATACTCTGGATGCTGGAGGAGGCACTCTATCCATCCCTTCTGGGAAGACCCAGAAAGTGTGAGCTACAAGATGGTCCTTGGCACTGCACTCCTCACATGGCCTCAGAGATGCTCTGGGACTAGCTTCCCACAAGAATAAGCTCTTGCTAGACCTGTTTGGGGTGGGGTGGGGTCCTCTTAGGCTTTTTAAGTTTCTGATGTTGGAGTCCCTTTCAACACGGATGGGCTTTCCTTCAACATCTGGCATTACATGTTTGGCTTAAGAATAAACCGACTGGGCTAAAGACATGGCTCGCAGTTAAGAGAACTTCCTGCTCTCGGGAGGGACTAGTGTTTAGTTCCTAACACCCATAATAGGGAGGTCCACAACCACCTGTAACTCCAGCTCCAAGGGATCTGACACTCTCTATTGGCCTCTGAGGATGCCTGCATGCACGAGGTACATAGATATGCTCAAGTGTATACACAAAAAATTAAATTAATCCTTAAGAATAAAACATGTAAAGGTTCATTTGAAAGGAGTCGATTTAGGTGTGGTGGTGCACAAATGTAACTCAGTACCCAGGAAGCTGAGGCAGGAGGACTGCTAGCAGAGTGAGACTAAAAAAGGGGATGGGGGAGATCTTGTTGTATAGCAGTGGATAGTCAATAACATATTTAAATCATACACTCAAAATTGCTGAGTGGATTTGAAATGTGTTCACAGCAAAAGGTAAGTACATTAGATGACCTGATTTGTGGTCATCCCACAACATGAAGATAATCAAAATGCCTTGGGTTGGGCATCCTGAGCACAAGTCATAAATCCAAAATGCGACACAATCCTGGCCTTTGTGACAAGTGGAAAATTCCACACCTGAGTTCAGATGATGGCTTACAGTCAAGCCGGAGGAGTACTGGTGACATTGCACAAGGTCACCTCCATGAATATGGCATTCGAAAGACACAAGGCGACTGTATTCCACCTCTGAGATCTCATAATGTACCAAGTATTTCAATACCCCAAAATCGCCAAAATTAAAAACACTTCTGGCTCAGGAAATTAGGATACAGTACACTTCAGCAACTGAAAGAAAATGTACCACCTATTTCTCTCTAGGGAGTGAGTACAATATGGAGAAAAGCACGGCCCAACACACCTCCCGTGTTTTACCCCTAATTCTTCACCCTTTTGCATCCCCTCTTACATGCCCATTGGCCAGTGGGATTTTTTCTGTCAGGTCCACACCATCAGCATAAGCTTGGAGTAAGCCAAAAATGTCTCTGGTCTTGACGGCCTCACAAAGGCTGTGGAGCTTCGCCGAAGTGTCTGCATGCTTTTTCCTTGCATATCTCCCTCTCGATGTACTTGGCTGTGATGTAGTCCTTCCTTGCAATCCTGAAACCAGACATAAGTGATGGGCGGAACATGGAAGGCCTCTGTGGATCCATCTAGCCCACCATCTACAATGCTGCCCAGCCCTCTTGGGGCCCTATGGGTTCCTTCTTCAAGCACGGCATGTATAGCCTCTAGTATCAGAGGTATTGAAGCCCATGCAGCAGTCCTGGGCTTCACCAGTTATAAAGACAGAAGCCAAGTGTGTGGCTTTCTTCACATTCTCTCAGCCGCCTGCTGCTGTCCCCTTCTGTAACCCTGAGCTCTCAGCTCAGCATGCTGTCTGCTGCTGTCCCCTTCTGTAACCCCCGAGCTTTCAGCTCAGCTCAGCTCAGCATGCATGGTCCCTGCGCCTAACCCTTGTCTTTGCCTCTCTTGTACCACCATATCAGACTCTCTGGTTTTTGTTTCTTAAATGGATATTTACTGCTCTGGGGCTCTGAATCTCTGAAGGGGGTTCATCTGTGACCCTCTGTGACCCCTGGTTGCATCGAGCAGACTATACTGTTAGCACGTTCTTGGCTTTTTTTTTGTTTGTTTGTTTGTTTGTTTTGGGTAATGTATAGACTGAGATGTGTGGTGGATAGTAAGAGAACACCACAGACCTATCCATCTGGTGTTGCTGGGGGTAGGCGGGGTGGGGTGGGAAGTGGGGTTGAGGCTTCCTGCTGCTTCTCAGAAACAGAAACACTTTGCCTCTATGAGCAGACACAATCTGGCCTCTGGGTGGCCCAGTCACACAGCTTTCCATCTCCATTCCCAACTGGGGTTCACAGGCCATTAGCGGGTGTGCCTTTGGCTTCCCCTTCAGCAAATGGTTGAAGATGGTGTGTGTTTATATCAAGCTACAAGCTGCTCACTCTATCAAATCTAGAAACAGAATATCCACTGAATTAAGCTGGCACAGAGTAGGAGCTATTTCTTTGATTTATTGAGCCATTAAATATTTACCGAACAACTACAAGCAGCATACCATGGTGGCAGATACAAAAATGAGTGAAACATAATTTCTCAGGACAAAATGTGGAAGAAGACCCAGGTAGCCTGTAAGGTGTGATGGAATGCTATAAGAAAGAACCAGCTGCCAGAGGCACACACTGCCACACAATTAACATTCTTCTTTTATTTGAGTGGCTGAGGGTCAGATTAAAGGCTTCACTATGCTGCCCATACTAGTCCTGAACTCACTATGTAGCCCAAGTTAGCCTAGAACTCACTGTATAGTCCAGGCTAGCCTCAAACGAGTAATCCCCCTGCCTCATCCTTGCCATTGCAGGGATTACAGTCATGTACCACCGTGGCTGGTCATATAGTTTATCTCACCTTCAGAAGAATGACTATGAGTGTGTTTTCATCTCTGTAATAGCTATCATTTCAGAAGAAATAAAGTATAAACTGCCTTGTAAGAAGTGGTGTGTGTGTGTGTGTGTGTGTGTGTGTGTGGTGCCCTCAGAAAGAGGGTATTCAGTCTTCAAGAACTGTAGTTCTGAATCATTGAAGCCACCATGTGGGTGCTGGGACCAAAACCCAGGTCTTCTGGCAAGAGCAGCAAGTGCTCTTAACAGCTGAGCCGCCTCTCCGGCCTCCACTCCTGGTACATGAAAGTATATTACTATACTCTGTTTAAAACTGACTGACATTACAGCATTCCAGGAGACTCTGGCCACAGCAACAAACAACCAGAAAGCCAGCATCAAGTGTCAGCTGTCACTCAACTCACCATGCTGGACCACAACATTTCCTTCACTAAATTGGGTCCTCCAGCTATCTAACAAGGCACTGTGAACCCATGGGTCCCAAGAGAGGAGTAAGGATCCTCATTTCTTAACAGAGTCAGCCACTGGGGCACTTGCTTAGACTCTGTTGCCAACACGATTCACACCCCAGCTGGCTGCAAACCATCTTTCTAATTTCCCCAATACTCTCTCTTTTTATTAGAGAAACCGAGGCTTAGACTGAGATCATAAAGAATGTGCCCTTGGTGGCATGGAAATCGATGGCAAACCAGGGTCTCCAGGTCAGATGTGAAATTAACATCTTCATATGAAGAAGCCGTGCTTTACAGCCATGTTATCCAATCTCTGGGAGACGCCATGTCACAAATGCTCACTTAGGACAGGATAAAAACATAAGCTATCTATAACCTAATACCTGCAAGTGGCTGGTCTAAGACACTTGGCGCCCAAGACAGCCAACGACTGGCAAGTCTCCTACTTACCCTCTAGAATATTCTTGTGTCCTCGGTGGATCAGAGTTCAAAACAAGAGCACAGGCTGCACTTATGCGGCCTCAGTTTCCCAAACAGCACAGATACAAAAAGCTATGTGTCCTGCTGTACACACTATGACCACTTGTAAAACTATGACCACCCGTAAAACCGCTCTTAAAGATGCTGCTCCTGTCACTCGATGATGTCTTTTAGGAGAACCCAGACCACTAATTCGATTTCAGGCCTTTGCCAGTGAAATATAGTTTGTGTTACAGATTGCACAACCTTCTCTTGACCCCTATCTTCAGTTCCCCTGCTATCATGATGCTCAAACACAGGTGTTGTCTGCTTGCTGGCTGGGAGATCTAGCCTTCCTCTGTTTCTATCTGCCTCACTTTGCATCATACTCTAGCCCTCCTGTGGGCAAGCAGGCCATTTTAAGAAACAGGGATGATGTCTAGGGGCAGGATGGCACTGCCTTGTCTACCTCCTCAAGCCCAGTATGTATGAATAACACTTTGATAAAACTGGCAGGCAATTCCTACTGTATACGGTCCATCAATGGACCAGCTGGAATCTCAGCGAGGCACACCAGCTTCTCCGGTCAGTTTGTACCAACAGTAACACACACACAAAGGTTTTCTGGAGGAGACAACAGGTAATAAATCTCGAAGGACAATGACAAAGAGAATGGTGCACAGTCACCTGTCTGTGATGACTTGGCACAGTTCACCATGCTGGGAAAGTGGGCAGAGAGAAAGAACAGTGGCAAGGGGTGCAGGGGCGCAGTGAGTAAGACCCACGGTAGCACGTTCTTTCACTCAGCTAAATCGCCTTCCGTCCTCTGGTCACTTCCTAACAAAACTAGCCACCCCGTGTGTCTATTTGGACATACAAACATGACTAAAGAGGGAAAAAAAATTCAAAATGAAAACAAGCAACAACTGATATACCCCGAGACCTGTTCCCCTGCTTACAGGGCACAGGCAAAGGGCAACTCTTTGTTCAGCAGATGAGAACGGCCAGCCTCATACTCACATGTCGCTGCCTGGGTTGGGTTTGACAGAGTCCTCAGATGGTAGGCAACACTCCATGATCTCATTAAAGCCCGCATTCCCAATATTCTTGGCAAGCTACAAAAACAGAAGCCTATTTTAGAGCACTCAATTATTAATACCCTCTGCCACGGCCCATTCCCAACATCTGACAATTTATTTAATGGCCACAGAGAAACAGAGCGGCAAAGTGGTTTTGCTTTTAATGAAAAGGCACAAAACCCAGAGCCCCAAGGGTCCAGCACACACGACCAGCAGAGGATGCTGCGGGAAAATGGACCGAGTCATCACACACTCCGTCCTCACCTGCTCTCCTGCATAGATCCATTTAGCCACAGCCTTCTGCACAGCAGCTGTGATATCACAGGGATACACAAGGCCAGCAAGTCAAAACCCAGGTTCAATTGGGAGAGTCAGTTTTATCCATGGAAGTGGGGGGGGTGGCAATTAGCTCACAGGATTGTGACAATGACAAAATGGGACTCTTTTGGTGAAAACCTTCAGCAAACTGAAACACTGTGATGTCATGTGTGACCTCCAGATGTAAGTCTTCTGACTTTTCTTTTTGACACAGAGTTTCTCTGTGAAGCCCTGGCCATCCTGGAACTCACTCTATAGAACAGTCTGACCTCAAACTCAGAGATCCCTCTGCCTCTGCCTCCCAAGTGCAGGGATTTAAGTCATGCACCATTATCGCCTGGTGTCTTCTCACTTTTCAATACCCAAGTCCTACCTTCTCATGTAGTATTTACTGAGTACCATTGTATCGAGCATAGCCATACTACCCTGACAGCGTGGCAACTGGCATTTGCCGGATGAAGGACTGCATGGCCAGAAGCTCATTCATTCTTAGCACCAGGTCTGATTCCTGCCACTACAGAGTCATGGCCCACAAGTCAGATTTTTAAACATGTCACGAAACAATACAGGCAGGGTATATAGCACAAGACTTTGAAAGAACAGATTATTTAATTTCTTCATTGGAAACAACAGTGAATGAGTCAATGGCACTTAACACTTCTCTGCTCAGCCACCTGTGCAGACACAGGGTAGACAGAGACATTCTGGAGGTGAGAATGGCTCCTGTCCAAAGGGTCTGCTCTGTCCTTAGGGGACACTAGCTTAAGTCGGGATCCAAAGGGATCGCTGGGTTACATAGTAGGGACCCCCTGGCATGAAGTCACATTTGATTGACTTGGTAAAGGCATCAATGGAATATGGGCAGCCTGCCCTTCATGTGGTAAGCCTCACTAGTTTTCCATTGTCCCTGATCAGTGAGTCAAGCACACTCACCCTCTGCACCTCCTTGCTTAGACCTGACTACACGGCCTCAAGCCATGGTAAGAGGGCAAAATCTAGGCAGCTAGATTGATGTTCCTGCACACAAGACACTCAGAGAAAACAGCGAGGGAGGCACAATCCTTTCAGTGACAAATACCCGCAGACCATGGGATAAATGCCCTGCAAAGGAATTCTTGTGCAGTTAGCATTAGACATGGAACTAAACATCAATAAGGGAGTTCCTGGTGTAGACAGCTTGCTTGCTTCGGTACTCTATCATATATATAACGTGGGCACCACCCTCTACCCAAGCTTAATCATTTAAAAAAATAAATAGCAGAAGTCACAACTGTCTCCTGTGAGTAAGGGACCATGCCATTGCCTCCTGGTCTGCATTTAGTGAGTGGGGGATGGGAGGAGAGAATTTACCAGGAATCAGAAAGCTTCCCTTCTGCCTAGATCTGGCTGGCTTAGCCAGGACAGCTGGTCCAGGGAGCCACCACATTCGATGTAACACACATATGTTTCAACACCATATCTGCTAAGACCCAGCTTATAAACCAGCCTGAAGGGAATCACTCAGAACTAACACAGGAGCCCCAAAGCTGGAGGTCAAAGGATCCAACTGGGAAAACATGGGGCCAGCAGACCCCTGGGAAGCAGTATTTGGCAGCAGACCAGGTGTTGGCATCAAGAGCTGTCACTGTCACCTGAAGGAAGTGTGGGATGTACTCAGGCGGGAATCTGATGGGCTGAGGAGACGCCTACAGTGTTCAATGGTACAGGTGTCTCTCCCTGTCTGGGGGATGGGTCCCAGGGTCCTACAGATGGGGAATCTGAGGGTACCCAGGTATATCCCACACTGCTTTAGATGTCTTTTAATTCCTAAGACAATGGGAATGCCATGTAAATAGTTGTCTAATGGCTCTGTTCAAGGAGAAAAGTCTGCACATGTCCACTCCCAGATGGAACCCTGGTGGCCTCAGCTAGGTAGCACATGAAGGAACGATGGAGGGCCAGGGAGATGCAGGGCCTTGAAGAGATGCTGTGTCAGAGTGCATCACCTCATTCAAGGGGATATGGGTGAGTTTGTAGGATGAGGCAAATTCAAATTTCGGTTTTCTTTTAGAAATTTCAAATTTTTTCTTTATTTTTTAAAAATGTTTGGTGACAGGCTAATTACTAAAGCCACATGAACCTCTGTACTTTTAAATTTTTTTAATTTTTTATTTTATGCACATTAGTGTTTTGCCACAGGTGTCGGGTCCCCTGGAAATGGAGTTACAGACAGTTATGAGCTGCCATGTGGTTGCTGGGAATTGAACCCAGGTCCTCTGGAAGAGCAGTCAGTGCTCTTAACCGCTGAGCCACATCTCCAGTCCCTAAAATTTCTTTTAAATACTGTTTTTAGATTTATGTTTTTATGTGTATGAAGGTTTTGTCTGCATGTGTGAATATATGCCCCACATACATACAATGACAATGGAGGTCAGAAGAGGGGATCAGATCCCCTGGAACTAGAGGGACAGATGTCTGTGAGCCACTGTGTGGGTGCTGGGAGCTGAACCCAGGTGCTCTTCAAAATTGAGCCATCCCTCCTGCCCCTACTTTAAATCATTTTGATTTAAGGTTGGTTGGACATGTAGATGGTGAGCCCACTGATGCAGGGGACCAACAGAGCATCACTTAAGACAGTGAAACTCAAGTCCCACCCCTCACCCTTCATGCTGCGTCATGACACAGAGTCATGTGACTGAGCCCCTCAACTGTGTTGGGCATTGGGCATAAGCTGCCATGTTGTTCTGTACTGGCTCAGTCAACAACAGAGACAAACTGATATGATGATGATGATGATGATAAATGATGAATAAAAAGAAACAGAAGCAGAAAGGCCAGAGACTGGCATTACAAGCCCGACAACCCGAGTCTGATCCTTGGAACCCACAAAAGCCGGGGTGGTGGCATGCAACCATAATCTTAGCACTCCTTTGGCAAGATAGGAGGGGCAGTAGTTAAGAATTACCCAGAAGCCCATGGGCCAGCTGGCCTAGAATATACAGAGTGGCAGACACAAGAATGACCCACTCAGCAGGGTGGAAGATAAGAACAGACTTCCAAAAGTTGTCTTGTAAAACACAAAAATACATTCCGTAAAGCAGCACAGTGCTCTCTGTGTGTGTGTGTGTATGTACCTCTCTCTCTCTCTGTGTGTGTGTATGTACTCTCTCTCTCTCTCTCTCTCTCTCTCTCTGTGTGTGTGTGTGTGTGTGTGTGTATGTGTGTGTGGCAACAGAAGCTCTACCCAGCCCAGTCCAGGTAGGCAGCACACTCATGGCCAGGGCCTTAGCAAACCTTTAGCAGCTGTGTGAGAAAGGCATGAAGCTACAGCAAGGCCCCGGGTTTTATCTAGACACTCATTTTAGAGTTTGGGATGGTGTGGAGCAGAGTTCCTGCTTCCTCCTCCCATAGGGAGGGATAGCAACTATGGTAGATTTTCTCTACCTCTCTGTCCTCACCTGAAGACAGGAACCAAAAGTGAGGGAAGCAAGCAGGACTTCCCTGAAATCCCTCCGGTCCCAGAGAAGTCATAACACTGAGGCCTGCTCCTCCTCCAGGTCAAGCTGTGGGGTGGGTTACCACACAGTTACCACACACAGGCCCCACGTAGCCATCTGGGTCTCTGCCAACTACGGTCTGGATCTATTCTGGTTTGTTCACTGTTTATTCCCAGCTCTGTCCCAGGAGGGTGGAGGGCCTCATACCTCTTGACAAACACATACATGAGAGCCCAGGAACAAGAGAGAGGAGAGGAGACTCAAGCATCAAGAAATGCTGGGAGCATGAACAGATATCCAGAGGGTAGGAATGGAGTTTGCACACTTAACATGTATGTGGGCCTTGCTGTTCCCTCTAATATATTTGACAATATACACAGATGCCTGGGTACTTGGTTTTTCTTGTAGCTAAAATCAGCTCAGTGTTGTGACTTACAAACAGGATTGCACACAGCCTGTGGTGTCCCAGGGTCTTGCTTAGGCCAGAGAAAAAGTATGAAAAAAATCAAATCAAACCCAAACAAAACAAAACCCAAAACAGCCATGGCAAAGCCCGGGACCTAATGTGATGGCAGCTGACTACCATTTCTCACTGCCACTGCAGTCACTACCCAGAGTGACTTAGTTCAGCACCCTCAAAACACCAGCGCTGACAGCAGTCCCAGGCTTGAGGCTGTGGCTGACCTGCCTGCTCAGGCATCTGACAGTGCAGCAGAGACCTCCAGAGACAGCTGAGTCAGCTAACCAACTGCCGAGGCTTCCTGACATTCCTTCGGCATGATGGAAGGCTTTACATCTATTCTGTTCAGACAGGGTCTTACTCCATAGCCCAGGCTGGCCTGTGACACACTGTGTAGCACAGGCTGGGCTCAAGGCCATAGCAACCCTCTTGCTTTAGCCTCCACAGGTAAGCTCAGAGGCCTGAGCCATCACACCCCGCTCTAAATTAAATTCCTTTAACTTATCACATGGTAGTGAAATAGATCACATGATACCAGTACCGTAGTAGGTAATATGGTTTTTCACACAACCCCCACTCTCCCCAAAAGCTTATAACGTTCTTCAAAGTTAAAACCCAGGCTTGCTGGGGGCCTCTGAAACCAGGTCCCCTGAAGCTTTATGGCTATGGTTCTCAACCTTCCCGATGCTGAGACACTTTAACACAGTTTCTCAGGCTGTGGTGACCCCAACCATGAAATTATTTTTATTGTTACTTCCTGTCATGTTGCTGCCATTATGAATCATAATGTAAATATCTGTGTTTTCCAATGGTCTTAGGTGACCCCTGTGAAAGGGTCATTCGACCCCAAAGGGGTCAAGACCCACAGGTTAAGAACCACTGCTCTAAGCCGTCTAGAGTATGGAATGCTAAAAGTTTGGGGTGGCACAACTTCCCCCAAAAGAACCAAACGAACCCTTCCACTGCCTGTGTTCCCTTCCAGTGAACAAGAGTGATTTAAAAGCAGTAGCAGGAAGCGGAGGTAGTTACCAGCTACATTCAGCCACCTTGTCAGACGCTGCCCAATCCATCAGGTCAACGTGGAAAGTGTGCTTTCAAATAACAGCAAATTAGAATGGAGAAACAGCCAGGGCACAGTGTCAGACAAACTTTGCAAACCAGGTAATAATCCACAGAACTCAGCAAAGGGGTCTCCTTGAGTAGAAAATGCTACAGTCATGTTGAAGGGCACGAGCAGTGAGTGTTCATCTTCTATTCAAAGCATGATGCCAAAGAGAAAACGAAAATGCATTCAGGTCCTGCCCATGGGCTGGCTGTTTCTTTCAGTCATTTAAAAAGTCTCCGCTTGCCAACAAAAGCAAAACTGGAAAACTGGAATTGCTCTGCATAAATAAGGAAAGTGAAGAGACAGCCTAAGGGATGAGAAAAATCCCTGAGATGCTGATCCTGGTACGGGGACAGAATAAAAAATATTACAACAAGCTTGAATAACTTGACAGAATGAACACAGTCCTGACTCAAGGGCAAAGGAAACAGCAACGGGACACAAGACTAATGCCCAGCAATGCCGACCACAGCAATACTCATCCCCTAACACTGAGAAGCCTTTTATCAAAAGCCACATCAAGAACCATGTACACCATTGGTTTGAATTTATGGAGGCTTCTTTAAAAAACAAAACAAAACAAAAACAAAAAACAAAACCCAGAAGTATGCTGGAGAGATGGCTCGGCGCGTAAGAGCACATGCTGCTCTTACAGGGGACCCACCTTGCAGTCCCAGCATCCACCTCAGGTATCTCACAGTCACCTGTACCTCCAGCTCATGGGTACCTGGTATCAGCTTCTGAAGCATCTCTCCAGGCCCACGTTTTGAGACGCATTTAATTAGTCAATGTTGGAGTGAGACTCTAACCAGCTCTGGAAAGCTAATTACTAGATGTCTAGGAATTCTGAGAGACAGCTGTTAAACATTACTACTGTTAAAAATTATACTATGTAAACGCATGATAAATAATGTCATTAGCTACGACATTAGCTATTAAGGGTTCATTATCTTGCTTTCCGTGAACACCTGAATTCCAAGCATGTCGGGATCTGAGGAAGAAGGGAGACAGCCCGGGCTACACAGGGAGACCCTGACCCCGCTCCCCAACTCCAAATAAAACAAATCTCACCTTTCCTAAATATTACTACATTTCACCGTGATCAGTGTCTTGAGTTGCTTATATGTATTGTATTTATATGATGAATGTATGCTATAACACTGTGTTTCTGAACATCCTTTGCCAGTCCCAGTCTGTAATTCATAAGAGTAATTAAAAAATGGTGACAATAGAGCATTTATACCAGGGAAATGGGCAGGCTTTGTTGAAGGGCTCTTTGCTCCTCAGAGTTGGCTGTTAAAACACTTGTTGGGTATGGGCTCTGGGGAGGGGCAGATATGGTGCTCACATGCTTTCCACATGGCCAGAAAACCCCACCATAGATGCCAGTTTGTATCCCATGAGTCTCAGGGGAATGAGCTAAGAAAGATTAAAGGGAGCCTCATTTTGAGTGTGTTAACTTAATGGGTGAAGAACCTGGATACATTAAGGTATTGTAAGCAAAGCTTCCCCCTTGGTGAAGTGGGAGATCCTACACCAAGGATTGAATGAGCTAACACATAAGCCATTATCTTACTATACGTTTGACATGTCCCTCTGTTGTAAGCTGACTAGTGGAAGTAGAAATTGCTACAGTCCATCAGTGTTTGCCGAGACACTGTTTCCTTAAGAACTTAGTGTGGTCACTTAAGAACTAAGCCCTAATCAGTTTCCCCAGAGATGCTGTACATTCCCACACCTTCGAGGTGTAGGCCACGTGCCCTTATATGGTAGCAGGGACTATATACACAACCAAGAGTACACTGTGGAGGTTTGCTGAGTCTGCCTCATTCATAAGGTAGAAGTAACCAGGGACCCACACTGCTTTCTTCTCACTCTTGTCTTCCAAGATCAAACAAGGAATTCCTTGGAATAACAGGGCAGTTTCCCCAAGACAGCCAGAAGCACCAGGAATCTAGACACATTGGATTCAGAGCTGTCAAGAAGATCTATGTCCCTGTGAGAAGAATACTACTGACCATAAGAACTGATGTTCTGTCAAGATTATTGCTTTTGACAGTAAAATCAATGCCAATCAATATCCACTTACTATTTACTACCCAATGCCTAGTCATCTCAAGAAAGGGTTTCAAGCACTGCTTTCCAAAGAGAAACTATAGATTCTGAAGCCCTAAAGCCCATGTGCAATTGGCCTCGTGACTCAGTCAGGCTATAGTGTCAAACACCAAAAGGTATTTCTCAATATTCCCATCTCCCTACCCCTCTATCAGAAAACATCAGTAACGCAAGTGAGCCATGATGAATAAACTATTTTAGAAAAGTGAGGGGCAAAAACAGAAGCCAGTATCTCTCCTGAGAGGGGCAATAAGGATTAGGAAGGTCAACAGGGGCTTAAAGCAAGAAATGGGTACAGCCTTTGATGACTTGGGGATAGTAAACCCTTTACTGCCCTTGGGCTTTGGGTTCTGTGCCTAGTTAGTCCAAGGGTAAAGGGGGCCTCAGCCGCCAGCTCAGCCGTTTCAGAAGACCCCTCCGCCAGCCCTCAGCGCTCCTCTCCTCATTTGGAGTCGTGTCTATGCTCTACATTTAGGAATAACATGAGTCATTATCAATGAGTTTCTAAATGAAATTACCAGAAGCTCAGACGTTCCTAATACATCTAAGGTCAAGGACTGCATCCTGGAATAATGGACCCCCAGCTCACGGTGGATTCCCGAGCACTCGATGCAAGTCAGGATGCCCAGGTTGGTGGAGAGCCACGTCGGATCTGCCAAAGAGAAGGGGTCCTCATGAGCCGGTTGTCAGACAACAGGAAGCAGAAGTTTCTCCCTGCTGGCTGCTGAACATGGAACTTTGAACGTGAGCATTTTACCTTTGATAAAGCTGGGACCCTGGTCGTCTAAAATCACACCAAACCCCACAAGCAATGACAAGGTGTTAATTCTTCTCCTCCCAACTCTATCCTTCTACACACTTAAGCGACCGCAAGGGGCTAGTCCTGTGGCACTCACCCCAGTTCCACGTGGCCGTACCACAGAGGAGCCAGAGGAGCGCAGTGCTGCAGGGATGAGAAGCTGTCTAGGCGCTAACAGTAACAGGGAATACACATTCCTTCCTGCTTGTACTGTGCTGAGCTTAGGACCTGGGCTGTGGTAATGGTCAACTGCACCGTGAATGCCAGGAATCAGAGCGCTTTTGCACATTATCTCATTGTATGCTCCGGGCATACCACTAGCGAGTGCAGAGCACATGGCCCATCCTGTCTCCCCAAGTTCAAGCCACACCTTTCCCATATGGGATATTCACTTCCTCACTTAAGCATCCTATTATGCACGTAGCACACAGTGTGGACCCAGCCAACACTTGACAGGCAAATGCTGAGTTTTCAAGCATTAAAACTATGATACATTGGAGCACAGCATCTCAGGAGTGCTTGATGCACTTAGAAATTCTTCACGGGCAAACATCACGATCATGCCCGTGAGGTCATCATTAACTTCTTTAAACACTGTCTACTTGGTAAAAACTGAGGGCAGGGGAGAGGGGCTGGAGAGATGGCTGGAGAATGGACCTGAGTTCCATTCCCAGCATCCACGTGACTACTTACAACCACCTGTAACTCCAGAGGACCTGATGCCTTCTTCTGTCCTCTGTTGGCATTATACACACATGGTGCACATAAATTCATCCAGACTCACACACACACACTCCAAGTAAAATAAACAAATAAGTCTTAAAAAAAAATGTGGGCTAGGACTTTTGCTCGGTAGTACAGTACTTAACTACCACATGTAAGGCATTAAGTTGAATCCTCAGTATACACATGTACGCACCACACACACGTACACACACATGTGCCCACATTAGTGACTATTCCTAGCATCCATATTTGCAGGGATCTCAGCTATTCCCAGGTATCCCACTGCTTTGTGGGAACAGTGCATGTTCAGATAACACAGCACATTCCACACCATCTCTACGCCCTTGGCATTTTTTAGCAGCGATTCTTGATAAAGACGCCCTAAGATTCTAGTACTTCACCGTTCTTACCCTTTCTTACAAAAGAGCACAGGCTACTCCCTGCCTCTACTCCTGCCATGAAGATATTTCTAATAGACCAAGACCAAACAACTCAGGAAAACAAGAACTTAATGGCACTTATAACTATCTATTGTGGTTGTATTTTTTTTAATACGAACTGTATCAGAACTATGTGAACAGAAAGCCACACTTCTCAGTAAACAAGCATTCAGAAAAGCTACTGTGTTGATCCTGACTCTCCACCCTCTCCCTTCTTAATGAAAATGTCAGTTCCTCAGGCCTTAGAGTTCTGGTTGTTAATACCCATAAAGATACTATGTGCCTTAACATGAACCCTCTGATAAATTATATCAAAATGCAAACACAGGATGTGACAGATAGTAGGGACCCATCACTGATTTTACAGTTGTTTGGCAGTCTGTGGCTCTCTTCCTGGGTCACAGAGCCAGAGTGTGCCTGAAAGTTACTTCAAACGGTCCTCCAGGAGAACAGAGACGCTTCAGGAAATCCTAAGCAAAAGCCCCCGCTGTACCTTCACAGCCTCTTAGGCCCCATAGGACTGGTGGCCTTCGGCCCACCCCCACTGTGCCCTTCAGCTTTCTTATGACTCAAAGAGCCCTGCCATCTTCTCATCTCCACCAGGCTGTCTTTCCATGGTGCTGCCCTGGGCCCAGCAGGCAAGCATCTCCCATCCTTGTGCCCCGCTGAGTTGCACACACAGTTCATTAAGCATTTGTGTAATGGGATGAGCTCAGACTGAGCAGCACCGATTTCACGTTTGAAATGACAGTTTAAAATCAATGTGCGGGTTCTGTGTGTCTCTGGAATCTACGTTTCCTAGAGCCGGGGTTGGGATGGTTCAAGGATCACCTGGTGCCCCACAGTCACAGCACACATCGTTGCCCGTCATCCTCTGCACCTCTGAGATGATCTCTTTGGTCAACTCTTGGACAATGTTATTTTCTCCAGTGTTGTCGTCGCCCTTAAACGCATTATTCAGAGCTTCTTCCTTGCTATTCTGCAGTACAGACATCCATCTGGACAAACAGCCACAGCTCTGTTGTTAGCTGGGAGAGCATATTCTCTCCAACCCCTAGTCCCAGTCCCGCCCACAGTACACTCCCACCCCTGGTCCTAATCCCGCCCACAGTAAGGCCACCCTGGTCCCAGTCCCGCCCACAGTACACTCCCACCCCTGGTCCTAATCCCGCCCACAGTAAGGCCACCCTGGTCCCAGTCCCGCCCACAGTACACTCCCACCCCTGGTCCTGGCCCCACCCACAGCACTTACATCTGACATTCCTGTTCGTCTTCTGCTTGGAAGTGGTACGTCCTGTCATCTGCACAGCAAATGGAGACTTATTACTGCGAGGCCGAGTTAGACTTTACATCACGAATAGCATGCGCTCCCTACCATGTTAATGTACAAAGCCAAGCAAGTCCTTCCTTTCCATGCTGCATTCATGGGTGTGTGACTTTGAAATGCAAATTAACCAACCTGCCCATTCTAGTGTAAAATGTGAGAAGTAAGGCTATTTAATAGAAACCAAACTTCCAAAAACTTTGACATTCATTACAATCACCCCTCCCCCGAGGGAACCCTTTGATAAGCATGCCTTCCCCCTCACACTTGCTGAGCAAGGTGGTCTCCTGTGTAGACCAGGCTAGCTTTGAACACACACAGACTTGCATGCCCATGCTTCCTGGGCAACAGGAGGAAAGAACACCATATTCCTGGCAAACAAGAGCCTTTTCTGAAAAATCGCTATCTTAGACACTTTCTGGCTATCTTAGAAAAGTAATAATAATGCATCAGAAATTCTAAGAATATGGCACTCTTAGAACATCATAAGCACAGCTAACCCAGTAAGATGTGGCAAAATGATGGTCTAATGGGAAGTATCACACTGTCGTGGCTGGTGTCTGCAGTGTTTTACCAGTGACCCCTGTGTGCACAATGAGGGTTCATGGGGGGACAGCTTCACTTCTGTGCTATTCTTTCCAAAATGTACAATCTCAGTTAAGTCCTGATAACACTGGAGACGCCTAACTTGACAGACATTTCACAACAAAACTGAGCAGCGGTCTTCAAATCATACAAAGGTCAACACAGACAAGGAAAGGCTGTAAAAACTAGACCAGTGGGAGCCAAGATGAACTAAGATCTAAACTGCAACCTGAGGGCCTGGAGGGGTCTGTAGGGCCAGGACCAGGACATGAGTAGGAAATTGGTGCATTCTGAGTAGGATTTCACAGTATTGTGCTTCCTCAATGTGGATTTTTCTAGTAATACATATTGGCTAATTAACAAACACACACACACACACACACACACACACACACACACACGGTAAGGGATATCCATAAACTCTATGCACAGAATGAGTCAAAACAAGAAAGTTAGGAAGAAAACAACATTTGAAAAGAGAAGAAAATGAAGTCTAGCTTCTGCAAGTAACAGAGTGACACTCTTCTTGGTGCACAATAAACAACTATGAGCCCAAAGCAAGCAGGGCGTGATGAGGAGTCTCAACAGTTGAGTGTTCTTGCCACCAAGACTGACAGCATGAGTTGAACTCTTGGAACCCACATAGTGGATTGAGAGAACCAACTCCCACAAATGGTCTTCTGGTCTCCAAATGAGCATGTGCATGGACACGTGCTTGCTGGAATGTGCACGGACAAATACAATGCTTTTAAAAAATACAATTGAGTGGGCACAGCTCTGCAACAGTAGTTTTCAGTCCCTGACTTAGGACGACTCCTGTGAGCTGTCTGGATGGGGGCCAAGTACCAAGAGGGGTCAAGTGCAGACACAAGTAGAATTCGAGCAGAGGATCCCAGTGGCGGGTTTGGTTTTGGTTTTGTTTGTTTCTTTACAATCCCTAACATCAAGGTGAGTGGAGTGACACTTTCTATGTCCCACCTGTCGCTGAAGAGAGGAACAGAGGCAAAGAGAACTATTTCAAGTTAGACAAACATGGGACTGCACCCGATAGAAGTGCGAGAAGAGGCATGGCCACTTTCTCCTAGGCCAGCCCCCTGGGAAGAGCGCCAGAGGGGCAGGTCCCACAGCCTGAGCTGGGAGCTTGCCAGGTGGATCTCAGAGTTCTCAGGAAGCTGGGACAGAGGGCATGCCAGTGGCCTGCGCCTACACTGAGCTACTTCACAGCCAGATCGGGTGCGGCCTCGGTTGACTGCTGGCTGATAATGCCGGGTTTGAATGGAGAAGTGGGAGTTTACTCTGTAAGAAAAGGCCTGGATAATGCTCTCTCCCTGCAGGCTCTCTGGGGACCCACCTTAAGACAGGGAGGTCCCATGAGCATCTGGCCACCAGAGGAGCAGTGGAGCTGTAGAGAGATCTAGCTCCATCCTGCTTGGGAGACTGGCCAAGCCATCTCATAGTTCTAACCAACACCCTTCCTACGGTGCCAAGGACAATGGCTCAAGACTTGGATTTACAGAGGGGAAGTCAGTCTGGAGGGCACGAGACTGGACAAATTCCCAAAGGGTTGGCTTTATGGCAGACAAATGCCCCTGAAGGGGCGCAGTCCCAGGACCCTCTAGATCATACCCCGGGGAGCCCCTTTGTGGGAGGAATGAGATCACAGTCTTGCAGGCAGTAGTCAGTGTGTCACCCTCTGAACGGATTTCAAGCCAGGATAAGGGGAGGGGGTGACCCCTGGATGGCAGCTAGACTCTCCCTGCCCCATTGTCCAAGGTCTGGCCTTCTGTTCATCAGTGATTTCCCAAAGATTCAACTTGGTTGCACTCAAGGGCACTTGATGGCATTTGCCCCACTAGTCAGGGGGTAGAGGTGGCATTACAGGGGAGAACAGGGTACTGAACCAGGGCCCCTCACTTCTCAGGACAATGGCTACCTCAGAGCTTCAGCTAGTGTATTTCCCCTGATAACTTCACGCCTTTTACACGAACTCAGGTCCCAGCAGCCTCACATAAAGCATTCCCATTATATGCTCCTAGAGCAATCGCACATTTTGAAATTCTGCTGAGCTGGAAACTGGGTGGGACTAGAATTAATTTTGCCCCTTGAAGACCTAGCAGAGGAAGTGGGTGAGACAGGTTTTCAGAATTACTAAGGCTCTGTCTGGCCACAGTAGCAAACAGTGCCTGCAGCCAGATTGACAGAGCAACTCAGGCTGTGCCCTCTTGGGGTTATTCACAAGCATGAGAAGCCACAAAGTCATGGGGGGGGTCTTGGTGAAGTCTATCTGCAGCACCACTCTGGGGCATAACCAGACGCACACAGTAGCCACTCCCCCCCACACCCTCAGGATGCAACAATTCACACCTAGCAGGGGTATGTGAGTCCTTACTATGTGCTCAAGAGCACGCACACACACACACACACACATACACACACACAGACACAGAGACACACACAGACACAGATACACACACAGACACACACACGCAGACACACACACATACACACACACACACACACACACACACACACACACACACACACACCACAGAGCACCTGAGGAGCCAACAACAGCAGGAGGAAGGTTCTGTAGCAACTGCTTCTACACTTGTGATGTTTGCTGGGGACTCACCAGTCATGCTGACGGTGACAGCTGGGGGATGTGGGGAGGTGCTGTACCCACCTTGGCGTGATACCCAAAGCTAAAGCAAGCTCAGATAGCTACCAAGAGAATCTTACACCTAGGTTAACAGGCAGCTTTTAACAGGGTTAAAATAAAGGGTTTAAACAACCCTCTTCTCCAGCCACCAGTAGACATCTAATGACACCATCAAGTTTTCTTCCTTTAAGTCAAGCTTTTGTTGCTGTCTAGAGGCAGGTGGCCCAGCAGGGATCAACTTTTAAACTACAGTCAAGGCTCAGCATTTTACCTTGTAGATGTAATTCTGAAAGAAAGTGTTGCTACACATGGAACCAACCAGACTGAGGGGGGTCGGGAGCTTGAAGCAGCATAATTTCAACCTCCCCTCCCTCCCTCCCTCCCTCCCCCCCCCCTCTCTCTCTCTGTGTGTGTGTGTGTGTGTGTGTGTGTGTTGTGTAAGCAAGAGGAGGTATCCTATCATCTTTTTCATTCCCTAAAACAGCTACCCTAGTGGCCAGCAAACCTCAGTGATCCTCCTGTCTCGACCCTACTGTAAGCACACACAAGGCCACAGCTTACACAGCAAGTGCTCTAATGCACTGAGCAACCTCCCTAGCCCAGCATACATGACTAACAGTGCCCAGATGTTTCCCAGATCACACACCTCACCCCCTCCCTGCAGCTCTGCAAAATGAAACCCAATGAGGAGCACAAGCCAGGCAGCCGGTGCAGATGACATGGCCATTCTTCTTGATTTGCTGTGTGTGTTACATCACACCGGCTCCAAGGTCTCAATAGAGCCATCAGAATGAATCAGATTGCAGGATGGGGTGCTAAGCATGACGGGACACACCACCTGCCTATGCCCCTCAGGCTAGAGCGTTGTGTAAACTTAACTACTGTGCATGACTACTGGGAGCAGCTCTTCAGAGTGGAGATTGGTCCACCCTTCCCTAAACTGTAATCATGCCATGTACAATGAAAGAGGACAAAACCCATTTATCATATTTTCCTTAGGATGATGTCACGAGCCCCTTTTTTGTTTGTGGAAGGTTCTGAGTAAACATTTGCTGTAATTGCTGGTTCTGTGGCAGCTCCTTTCTGTGCATCATAAAAAAAGATACAAAGGGGCGAACAGACAAATTCTGTAGTGGGGAAAATAAACAACTCAAAGAGAGAGAAAAGAAATTACTAATCATTTCTATTTGAGTGTTTAAAAAAAAAAGTCTCATTACATTTACTTATGTTCTGGGCTGAGGGAACTTATGTGCACTGTGGTGCCTGTGTGTAGGTCAGGGGACAAGCTGCAGGAACACATCTACTACTTCTGCCATATGGGATCCAGGAATAGAACGCAGGTTGTCAGGCTTGGCAGTCAAGGACCTTTTACCCACTGAGCCATTTCACTGGCCTCCATTTGCAGCATTTTAAATGTCACACAAATAACTGATAGAAGGGCAGGTGAAAGGGTGTAAGGAGCGAGGCTCATCTAACACAATCTGTCTGTCTGCCAGTCAGGGAGCTGAGGCTCAGGGCAGAGAAGGGGGATCTCAGTTCACACAGCAGATGGAGCAGGATTCTCTTCAAAGGCCAATCCTAACCCAAAGTCCTGGGAAGCCACCAGTCACCGCTGGAAACACACGAGACAGGGTCTCACCATGTACACTAGACGGACCTCATAATCTTCCTGCCTCACCCACCTTAAGACCAATTCATCAAAGCCTGATTCTCCAGGAACATGTAATGTAAGCACTGTGTGGTCTGAGGAGAAAGACCCTTACGTGAGATGAGGTCGAAACATTTCTTCTCCTCCGGGTTGGTTTTCACCTGGCAGGTTAACAGGTTGAGTTTGGCAGGTGGCCTGTTGGCCTGTTTAGAAACAAATGAAAAACACAGGATGAGTGGGGGAATGGGACACAGTCAAGAGAAGACCTCTTACTGGTTTGCAGGTTTCTCAGGGATAGGACACACAGGAATGCTGGGGGGTCCCTTGGGTGGCTGCTCTCACTGCCAGGGCACACACAGGGGTCTATCCACCCCATTGGGACAAGGGCAAGAGCAGACTGAAATACTGGGGCTCTGACCCCTCAAGGTGACACAGTGGGGTGGCTAGATGGCTTGAGCAAGCACCCAGCTTAACTTCTTAAGCTTCTCAAAGTGTTTTTAAGCATAAACCTTACTTCCAGGAAAAGTCACTCCGCAGATGCACATACAAGAGTGTCTGTCTTTCTGTCTGTTTTTATCTAAAATGAGAGCAGGCAACAATTCACAATCCTAAATAAAACAGGCTATGTTGCCTGTTTCACGGAACACATTCCACATTCAAAAGCTCACAACATGTTTTATTGGTTTTAAGGAAAGGGGGGGGGGGACTGAAGAAATGACTCAGACATTAGGACTTGTTGCTCTTACAGGGGGGCCCCAGATCCATTCCCATCACCCATGTTGGGTGGCTCAGAATATAACTCCAGCTCCAGGGGGATCTGATGCCCTCTTCTGGCCTCATGGGTACCAGGCATACACATTGCATATAACATACATGCAGTCAAAATATCCATACACATAAAATAAATATTTTGAAGTCTTAGACATCAATCAACTAGTCTCACTTTCCGCTCTCCTTGGCCACTAGATGCTTCAAGACTTGTGACCTAGATTTGGGACTAATCCAGAGACATGTTTGTCTCTACCATAACAGGGCAGGCCTGGCAAACACTTTTGCACTCAGACCTGGGGGTTCTTGTTACTAACTTTACAGGGCTGGGTGTGGGGATGGGGGTGGGTAGTCTCCATTAAAATGGGATATATTCTTGCAGCTTGTGAAATCTGGATTTGATCAAAGATAACAGAGCTAAAATCTGAAAATACAAACTACATGAACAAATTTGTCCAACACACTGGTGGTTTGTGGGTTGTTTGGTTTTAGTTTCTTTTTTTATTATTGTTTTTATTGTTTGTTTTTAAGACAAGGTTTTTGGGGGCTGGGATTAAAGGTGTACACCCAGATAGGCATGAACAAATGAAATCGCTTGACCTGGGCTGTACAATTATCGAGTCAGGAGTAGGACTCCAACAAACCTGCAGGTTCCATGCACTAAGCATTAGCTGTCACTTTCCCCTAAACCTGACCAGTAGCCTGAGAGGACAAGTGTTCAATGGTATGGATATTCTTTTAAACTTTTAGAGAACTCTATGCACACCATGAAATATGATCATATCTTCCCCCATTGCCTCATACCTTCCCCCTCCTCCCAACTTCCTTTCTGTTGTTTGTTTCTTTTAATGGCTAACCTAAGTCCAGTTAGTACTCACATGTGCATAGGTTTAGGGAAACCTAGCAGTGGCTACGTTCTCAATGAAGATTAATTCTCTGTCCACCAACAACTGTAACTGCTATTAGCAATGCAGTAGGGCCTAGAGATGATCTACCCCATCCATGCTAGGACTGCCGCTGGCTTGACCATACCCAGTCTTACACAGCTAACCACGGCTGCTACCAGCATACATTTGAGATCCACAACTAAGAGTTAATTATATTTCCTCTCTCCCCACCTCTGTCACCTCTCTTCCCTGCTGTGGCACCCTCACTCCTTACGTTGATAATTATCCCCAAAGAGAAACTCTCACTTCACAGCAAATGAAAGCCAAGTACAGGGAAAGGCCCAGAGCCTTCATCTGGACTAGGAACTCAAGGCCATGAATATAGCTACCTGTTAAAGATGGCGGCCAAGAAGGACCCACAGACACACAGAGAGAAATCTTAAACACCACCAGCTCTGGCAGGTTTCACTTTAATAGCCGCTTGCTATTTGTTCATTCAGATTATTAGCTACCAACAAAAAACGAGAGGGAAACTTATGGGAGAAAGTTCTATCTACTAACATACACACACACACAAAGCCATTTTGAAGAAAACAAAGTCATTATTCAATTTAGCTGGAGAACAGTGCTGTCTCCTTCCCGAGGCAGCCTGGGTTTAGCAGGAAATGTTAGCAACTGGGAAGCTCCCACTAGCCTGAGCGTCTGCAGCGTGAGGGCAGAGGTTATTAGAGACTCCACTTAATTGTGCCAATTCTACTTTCTACTAAATGTCCCAGGCTTTAAAGCCATTGATTGATTGATGATTGACTGATGCAGTAAGGATTTAACCAGGAGCCTCATGCATGTAAGGAAAGCACTTTACCACTAACCTGTGTATCCAGTCCTTAAAACAATTTATAAGCACAAATATGAACTCATTCTTCCAAGTGAGTAACAATCACTTTTTAAAATGTTGAGCTGGCTAGGTGTACTGTCACACACCTTTAATCCCAGCATTCAGGAGGCAGAAACAGAAGAACTATATAACAGACATACATACATGTATACACGCATGCGCGCGTACACACACACACACACACACACACACACACACACACACACACACACTCTCTCTCTCTCTAAAATGCTGGGCCCTCTAAGAGGCAGCAGGTAACTCTGCACACAATGCAGCCCCCAGGCCTTAGAGTGGTGGGTGCTGTGGAGTTGGTCAAAAGGACCCCTATCAGAGCACCTAATCCCAAGGATGACCGTCACAGTTCCAGAAACACAACCAGCTGTGACAATACCAATGCCAACTCTCACTGTACCCATCCTGGATGGTACCTGTACACCTGTACACCATGGGAGTAAAGAATGCAGCAATTTCACTCCCAGAGGGTCTGACTTCCGGGCAGTGCAAGCATTTCCCAGGAGCTCCCTGTTCCCACAGACCCTATTCATAGCTATGTGCCAGCAGTGCTCTTAGATTCCCACTCTCTCACCTTTGACCTTCAGAGACCTGTCTGTCCCTGTCCCTGTCTCACGGTGGTGATGAAGCACAGCCAGAAGCTCTGGCCAGATGGGCAAGCTACAGGAGTGAGACAAAACCAAACCCTCAAACAACAGGCCACCCGGGCATCCATCCCTTTGTTGGGGTCACTCGCTCACAACAGGCAAACACTTGGATGCACAGGAACATGGAGGCTCCTCCAGGGTCCTGACTGCCAGGGCACATAGAACAACACAGCGTGAGGGGGGGGAAGATTGACTTAGCAACTAAAGGGACGGAAAGTAAGCTACCCAGGTTCGCCAAGGAGATAGGTGGAGGTTGAGCTGGGACCCACCTACAGAAATAGCAGGAAGTGGCTGCTAATGGCAGAGATGCCTCACCTCCCCACAAGTGGAGGTTCCTTGAGAGGGTTCACCTCAAAGCACACAGCTCTTAAAAGACATGTACACTCTGTAAGGGGAAGCAGCAGCAACCTGGGGAAGATAATTATAACTACTGTCTGCCCAAAACTGGGGCAACTCACCAAAATTTAAAGAATTTTTATTATGCCTCTGGAGAGGAAGCTGGGATGCTGGAAGTCACTCAAAATCAACTACACTGCCAGCAAGGGATCACCAGGCCTGCACTCCCCCATTGCTGGTTTAAGTGGAGGCCCTGCACCTCAGGGACCCCAAGAAAGCAGATGTGCCTTATGACAAGAAAGGAAAGGGGCCTCACTCAGCAGTGATTTCTGCATCGAGGCAGTGGGCCTGAGCTAAAGCAACCTAATGGACAATGTGAAATGAGGCATGGCACCAGACGGTGAGGCTTGTTAGGGAAACCCAGCCGTCCTCCTGGCCTGGCATGCTGCATCTAAAGGGTGCATGGTTAAACACGCTTGCTTCCCTTGGTACAAAGCAGCCATGCCCCTTCACGTGCATGCACCTGCTGTATGGAAACAGCGTGTCCAGATCCAATCTGCAGGCTCAGAGTGAAGTGCAGCTTGGGTTAAGGGAAGGCAAATGATCTTTACTCCCCCAAGTCCAGAGACATGATCAGTTCCCGGAGCTGAGATGGCAGAGAAGGTATCTTGCCCTTAAGGGACTCATCAAAAGTGAAGGGGACAGTCCCTTCCCCAAACCCACACAGCATCATCTTTGCTTCTGTGACATCCTTCAGGTGAAGCTTTCTTGGTTTACTCAAAAGCACTAAGAAGTCCAACTGTGCTTCTGCCCAACTCAGCTTCAGGGGGGACTATAGGATGAGGGGGGAAGGAAGACTGAGACAAGGCTCAAGTCATCACCACCCATGATCATGACCCTTATACAAATGCAGTGTAAGACCTGCAGCTGGAGGAGACACTGCCTGTGCCCAGCAAAAGGGCAACCCATGGCCTTGACAATCCAGACCAGCTTCACTGGCGCCAGTCACACCAGGTGAGGGAACAAAGGCTGTGACAGTTCCTGGACTCTGAAAGCTACACTGCAAAGTGATTTTACCCACACAAGCCCAAAGGCCTACATTATGTGTCATGGGCTCTTACAAACAGGCTAACAGGGAGAAAAACTTGATTGAGGTTAGGCACAGATATAAAGTTTCTATAAGAAAGATAAGGAATTCCCTTTCTGTGGATCTGATTCCTTTAATGACAGCAGAAGTCTTTGTAAGGATAATGTCCAGTTTGAAGCTAGCGGTGCAGGGCGTTTGATCGTTCCTGGAAGTCAAAGGCTGCTACAGAAAGGTGGCCCAGGTGATCAGTTTGTCCTGGATTTGGTGAAGACATGCAAGGCAACCAGGTTACATATGACCAGAAGAGCACACCTAGGTTGCAGGCACTCCACAATGAGGGAGAGCACAGCTTCCTAATGGGAAACTTCCAAATGCATCTTCACCACAGCAAATGCCACAGAACAGCCTTCAGCAACCACCCCAGCGGAGATAAATACTCACGGTGCCGTGGGATATGGTCAGGAAGCCATTTTTAACGGAACACTTCCTCTTTTGCCACACCTTCCTGATCCTTAAGGAGGAGGGGGAAATCAGGAGAGTTTAGACACTAACACAGGCAGTATCAGCACACATTCCAACTCAGCGTCCAGCAGGCTAGTCACCACCCAACTCTTCTTATACAGGTTCCCATTCCGCTCCGTCCCGTGTTCTTTGTTCCCCTGAGGCTGATGTAAGCTGTACGCTGTACTTTGGCAGTTGTGAGTCCTAAAAGTTCAGTCAAGAAACTGTTTTTTAATGTATCTTGTTTAAGTCCCTGTTTAAAAAGAAATTGCACTACATAAAAAGAAACATAAGCCTAAATGTTTTATTATTACTATAAAATATCCCCCACCATCACACATACTGAGAGAGAGGAAAGAGAGAGAGAACCCCACCAAAAAATTAATAAAAGCCATCCATCAGGTTGTAGAAGGAAATGTCAAACATCAGGATTTAGTGCTGGCTTTGGGGGAGGTTAGTGAAAGTATTGCCTCATCCCAGCTTCTCTATCTCCCCCTAAACTATCAGCACTTCTAAATTGGCTTTAGTGGGCCACCTTGGTGGCGAGTGGATTTTATTCTGGGACCTCAGCAATGGCTAGGAGATGCTGGGACTGATGAAACCTAGGGAAAGGACGCTGGGAAAGACAACTGCCTGCAACGTGGACAAAATGGAAACCAAAGCTATTTGGCCTTTTTACCTCAGTTTCCCAGGAAAACACCCAATAAGACAGTAAATGTACAAAGGACAGATATGGTCACTTATGTAAACTTCTGGCAAACAGCATTGGTCAAATACTCCCTTCCCAACCTGGTCGATCTCATGGTGTGTGTGAGGAGGGCGGCCCTGCTCTCAGTTGCTCCAACTCTGACCAGGAGTGTCACAGTCACAGAGCAGGCCATCCATGGGCTCAGCTGAGAGTCACACTACCCACCTGAAGACCAACCTAGCATATGAGTCTCTGAGGGCAAGAACTAGTGAGAATTCTCCAGAACCTAGGGCAGTGCCCAGTCCTGACAGGTCCTCATCCCACACTGAACGCAGAAGGAGCAGCCACCAGTGCTGGACACGGGCAGATCTTCAGGAAGTAAGTAGGATGTGAAATGCCACGAACAGTTCACAACCAGGCAAAAGCTAAAGACCTTCCTTTTCTGTTTACTGTGCATTCTGCCAAGCTACAGTCCAGGCCCAGAGGAAACAAGAGCTGTGACAAATTAAGGGGTTCGGTCTAGGGACAGAGCATCTGAAGCCAAAGTAAAGTGCAGAGTAGAAGCCCAGTTCTGATACCACAGCTCCATCCACAGAGCCACAGTGGAAGTCATCCAACAGACACTGAGGCCAGCCTCCCCCAGGCGGCAAGCAGCTGACCATTCTCAGGGAAACAAAGGCAGCGCGTGAACAGGGGAAGGAACCAATGTATGACAAGCAACACAACCCAAACTGAACAGAGAATAAACACACCCAAAAAGTGAGGGGTCAAAGGTGCACAAGGCAGGAAGAGTCTCACTGAAGTGAAAGGGAAAGGCTGCCCAAGAACAAGAGATTCAAGGTGAGGCGGCTGTGGTCATCACACAGGGAGGAGGCACACGCTGAGACAGGAGGCAGAAGCAGCCCACTGCAGTCAGACAGGCTTCTGTTCCAAGCGGCAGCAAGCCACGTGGACTCTTCCCAGCCTGGAATATCTTTGTAATTTGTGTCTAGGGGGCCAACCATAAGAAACCACCACCTAACTTAAGACCATGGCAGCTGCACTTATAAATAAATCCTTACTCTTGGGTGTCTGCTCTACTTCGAGTTAATTTAAGGTTACAACACGAGGTGGGGTTTCAGATTCACCCCACTTCTGGTGGACACTCAGCTGTCTCAAGGCCACTCTTTCCCCCCCACAGTCCCAGCAACCCCGGTGAAGATAAAGGTATGGCTCATGGCCGAACTCAATGCTGTCTCACACACCCATGCACATTCCAACACGCCACAGTGCTGCAGTTGAGACAGCTCCGTGGTCAGTTCTGAGGTTGGGATGTGTGAGCCAACTTGGTCCTTCTGCACTTTTACATAAATTTCTGAATCAGCTTGTCGATTTCTACCAAAAGGCAGCAGAGGTTTGATGCAGAGGGCACTGAGCCGCTGGTAGGATCTGTTTGGGGAGTACTGTTGAGTGCTAATACTGCGTTATCTTCCTGTCTGCCTAGTACTGGACCCAAGAATGCCAATGTCCAGGTGCTGACTTTATACTCCTCACAGGAGGCAGCCTCTGGTCTCACACTCTCCCTAAAGGATGGCATCTTTAACTCTTAGAAATCTGGAGGAAAAATTAGCTTCCCACACTCGGAGGAATACCACCATGGAGGGGAAAGGAGAAATACTGCTTGCTTGTCTGGATAATTCTTTATGGGAGACTAAAATTAAACCCATTAAATCCACCAAAGACTAATTTGACCTGGGTATGGTACACACCTGTAATCACAGCACGGGGGCACTAAGAGGATCAAGGATTTCAGGCCAGGCTGACCAACAGAAGGGACAGCCAGATCAATTGTGGAGAAAGGCAGCCTGAATTAGGGTCTAGTGGAGGAAATTGATGCTGGCAGGACCCATGACTGGAGAGACAAATGTCCCAAGAGTCCCAGGCCTCTAACTAGGAGGGCAGAGCTTGAGCAAGAGTGGATCAGCAAGATGGAAAGGAAAGAAGAGGCTAGCAGGGAGGACTGGCGCCTGGTGAAATGTGTCAGGTAGTGGCGGACAGCAGCAGAAATGTCCACTATGGCTCAGGCAGTAGGTGTGAGCACAGTGGGACAAGTCTTACTATGTAGCCCTGGCTGGCCTGGCATCCACTCTGTGCATCACAGAGATCCCGGGCTTCTTCCTCCAAGTGCTGGGATCACAGGATTACAGATAGGAATCAGGCCTGGGGCTCAGATACCAGTATTCACCATTCAGTTTTCACAGGTTCTCTAAGTCTGGGGTTCTTCAGACGGAAGTGATCTAACATAAGTGTCCTCTCTAGAGGGAAACAATATAACCAGGGTGCTGTGAGAAACACTGGGAGAAAGGCCAGGATCCCAAACTGAAGTACAGCCACAGGGCGGTAAAGAAAAGCAGCTGGCAGCCACCTACTGATGCATTCGGTACTGACCTAGGCTGACATTCACAGGGGGAGCAGGAAGTCACCGCTCCTGCCAAACAAGAAGGCACCGTCTGAGGGCCATGGTTGAACTTCCATGTCATTCTCTATTACACAGGCAGTTTGAATTGTCACAGTCTGCTCAAGTCCATCCGATACGTCAGCTTTCTGAGTCTCAGAGGAGAATCCAACTGAAGGGAAGCAGGGTAAAGCAGCCATGCCCAGACATTACAGGAAAAGATGGAAACACATGCAACCTGACTTCTTGGCATTTGTTAATGGATTGCTACTGTGTCCATAGAATGCCCATGACTGAACATCAGCACCAAAAAGCAATCGATGCAAGAAACATCCTCACAATCAGGGGCATTAAGAACTCGGCCTGATAGGAGTCACCAGGCACAAGCCAGGGAAAAGAAAGAAGATCCCGCAAATAGGTTAGCTAGCTCAGCCCACAGTGAAAGCCACCAGACTTGTCATCTGCACGGTCAAGCTTTATATCTTTGCAGAACCGTCAGTAACAACTCTCTGATGAAGCCGTTAACTCAGACCTCAAATTCTGTACAGCCAGACCCATCCCAGTCTCTGTACACCAACGGCTGCCAGCCCAGCCACGCCTCCTCATTTCCCACTGCGTCATTTCTTCCTGGGTTAGAGCCTCCTCAGACCATCTACACCAGAGATCTGGAGAGCAGCCACCTCACAGCACTTCAGCTCTCAAGCCTCTCTACTCCCTACTGTGAGGACCATCATCTGAAATCACAGGCTAGCACTGTGGGGACCAGGGAAAGGTCGCCTTACTGTTGGCAGTCTCTAGCAAAGCAGCATTACGGAGAAGGCGCTAAGGGTCAGCCCTGCTGAGAAAGGGCTCAGGAATGGACTAGGAGGGCTTACAGAATGACAGCAGAAGTGTACAGCAAACATGGCGATTTTCCATTTCACCCATCTTATGCAACCGAACAATATGGTCTTTTTAGGAAAACCATGTACCACAGTGAAAGAGGAGACACTGAAAGCTGAAATGAACTAGCCATTAGGCTATATGAGGAAATTATCTATGAGGGGAGCATGCGGAACTCTTCAATCTGTGAAAATACTGGGTACTTACTCTCTAGACTTCGGTCACAAAGGTGAATGCATTTGGGAGAAAAACAACGAGATTCAGTTACAGACTAAGAACTATGCTTTGTTAAGCAGCTACTTAAATTTACTGAAAAGGAAGAGGACTTAATGCTAAATTCCCATTATATCCCTCTACTCAGAGGTTGAGACAGGAGGATCACTTGAGCCTAGAGGTTCAGGGCTAACCTGAACAATGGACTAGAGACAAAGTTACTCATTATAACACCTAAGCCATATTATTGTCACCTTGTGATGTGTGGGGACACAAAGATGCCATCACACCAAAGAAACAACAGGCAAGGACCACGGATGGCTGCCACTGCAGTGGAGCCATATGTAAACTTATCTTTTTTTAAATTTCATTTTTTTATATTTTAAGCATGAGTGATCTGCAAGTATGCCTGTGGGCCAGAAGAGGACAACAGGTCCCATTATAGATGGTTGTGAACCAACATGTAGGTACTGGGAATTGAACTCAGGTCCTCTGAGACATCTCTCCAGCCCCAACTCTTTTTTTTTTTCCCTACTCTTTTTTTATCTTAAAAAAATTGTTTTGTTATTGTTATCAGTGTGTGTGTGATATGCATCTGTGTGTGAGAGTGGGCATTATTTATTATTATTATTATTTGTGTGACAGGCACCTGTGAGAATAGACATTATTATTATTTATTATTATTAGTGTTTATGTGATATGCACCTGTGAGAGTAGACATCATTATTATTATTGTTATTAGTTTGTGTGACAAGCACCTGTTAGAGTGGGTGGTGGTGGTGTTGTTCTTTATTGTTGTTGTTATTGTTAGTGTTTGTGTGACAGGCAAGTGCCATGACAATGGTTTCCAGTTAGTTCTTTCCCTCCACTGTGGTATCTGGGTCTTGAACTCGGGCTATCGAGCTTACGTAAGAAACACTGAGCCTCTTGGTCATCCTACCAGCTCTCTTCTCATCTTTCATTTGATCTGTATGCAAAGCAACATTACATACTTCAGTCTGGCCTGAGTTCACCATGTAGCACCTTGGCCTCAGACTCCCAAGTGCTGGGGTTATAAGTATGTGGCACCACGCCCAGACTAACTGCACAGAGAATGGCCTTGGGCTTTAAGGGAACTTGTTATGTCCCTGCTTCACAGACTGGGGAGAGTTCACACAGGGCAAAATTCACAAGGGGGGGGAGTTCACAGTGGGGGCAGTTCACAGTGCAGGGAGTCACACTGGGGAGAGATCACACTGGGGAGAGTTCACAATGGGGACAGATCACACTGGGGAGAGCTCACACTGGGGACAGATCACACTGGGGACAGATCACACTGGGGAGAGATCACACTGGGGAGAGCTCACACTGGGGAGAGTTCACACTGGGGAGAGTTCACACTGGGGAGAGATCACACTGGGGAGAGTTCACAATGGGGACAGATCACACTGGGGAGAGTTCACAATGGGGACAGATCACACTGGGGAGAGCTCACACTGGGGACAGATCACACTGGGGAGAGATCACACTGGGGAGAGCTCACACTGGGGAGAATTCACACTGGGGAGAGCTCACACTGGGGAGAGATCACACTGGAGAGAGTTCACACTGGGGAGAGATCACAATGGGGAGAGTTCACACACAGCAGAACAGGGAAATCACAGAGTCCAGGGACAGAACTTAGGGTATAAATGTGACAAATAGAACTACCAGAAAGTGGCAGAGCAAGAAAAGCTTCACACCTGGCCACACTCTGTGTGTGTGTGTGTGTGTGTGTGTGTGTGTGTGTGTGATATCCTCCAATCTTAAATCCCCTCACCTCTTTCTGTTCAACCTGCAATGCTGATTTCCAAAATATCCCGAAGCTGTATCAGCTGCCGCCGCTCCTCATCTTGGGCCTGTTTGATCTTTGAAGAGCAACCGAAGCAGAGAAAAGCAAGACAAAGGCACACTTAGATGTAGCAGATCATGGTATTTCCACACATAAGCACATGTGAGGATAGCCTGTTCACACCACCCCTCAGCACCACGGGGCCAGTCCTCTCCACACAGCACAGTAGGCATGCACAGGGTTACAGAAACAGGGCCCTGAATGGTCACAGCACCATATGGAGGGAGGCTACTCACTGTGTGGAGATCTGCAGAAAGCGTTTCAATGGAAGGCTTGAGGCTCTCTACCGCTTTTAGCCCATCCTGGAAAAAAGCTGGGGGGAAAGAACAAGCAGAGACTGGGTGTCACAGGGGTGAAGGCTGTTAGGCATGAGACTACTGGAGGGAAGGCGGCTCGGTGAGATGTGGCTCCTGGAAGAACAGAATGTGCACAGTCCGGCAAAGCCAGAATGAAACAACAAGGTTGTAAATGAACAGAGAAGGAATCACAGTGAGCCTGAGCATTCCCCTCCCCACACAGAAGGAGACCTGATTTCCTAGTTACCAGACTCCCTGGACAGAGACACCGAGGACTTTGACGACATGGAGTGCAAGCAAGAGAACTCGACAGGAAACAGTTAAGTGGGAAACAGTGCAAGAAAGAAAGTGGGCAACTTTGACACACATGAATGGCCGGGCTCCATCTGCACCGAGGACTTGATGGGTTTAAAGGTTAAACAACAAGAGGAATCTCCTAAGGCTAGGGACTCAAGGCTGTGAGGTCACTTAAGACAAAGTCGCTAGTCTTCAGCATGGCCCCAAAGCATGCTGGTCAGTCTTCACCATCAACCTGACTGGACTTAGGATCACCTAGGAGACTCACATCCAGATTTGTGTGCAAGGACATTTATTTCTAGAAATGTCTAACCAAGCAGGAAAGACCAATGTGAATGTGGGTGGCACCATCCCGTGAGCTGGGGGCCCAGAGAAAGCAAGCTGAAAGCCAGTACTGGTCTATCTGCTTTCAGACACCACATGACCAAGCACCTCATCTGTTACCTGAAACTTCCCCTCTGGACAGATTCCATCTACACAGGCCAGGAGTCACAGCAAACCTCCACTCTTTTTTTTCCTCCTTTTTTATTTAAATAAGAAACAATCTTATTTTACATATAGGCTATTTTATCACAACAAGGAGCAAAGTTACTAGTGCACCGTGCTGTGAGTTATAGGAAAGGGGAAGGGAAAGTCACTGTTTTATAAGCCTGACAACCAGAACTCAACCCTTCCTGGGAAACCTACAGAAGAAGCTCACCCCTAATCCCAGAACTCCTACGGTGAGAAGCAAAGTGAAGATAAGAGAATTGGCTAGAACCACACACAGTGGCAGAAACAGGAGAGAACAGGCTCCCAAAGTTGTCTCCTGACCTCAGGGTCACCCCCACAACATGCATATGTCACATACCTGTCTCAGACACAAATTCAAAAATAAATGACAAATAAAAATCTGGGAGGAGGGAAGAAAGAGACCTGGGTCTCAAGTATATATTCACCGAGGTGATTTTTCTTTTTCCCTTTTAAATTCATCAATGGCCCCATGAGACTCTTTCATAATAAGTGTGCCACAAGACAGAAGGGTTGTAAAAACCATGTAGCCTGTCACTTAACTTAGTGATCTCACACACACACACACACACACACACACACACACACACACACACACACACACACAGGGCCATGGACCATGACATCAAGCTAACAGGACGTACTGAGGCCAGACTGCTAGGATGCTCTTATCTCACACTTTAGATACACATATAGTTACTGTACATTTTGGATCTAACTGGGTTTTGTTTCCCAAACACATGTTCTGGATTAGCAATTAAGGCCCTGTGTCAGTGTGATCTGTGCAGATATCTGTGGCCAGAGTTAGAGCAAACATGCTGGGTCCCCTGGCCTCTGGGCTCTCTAACTTGACAAGGAAATCTGAACTGAAGGGCCACAGGAACCAGGAACTGGGCCCTACTGTTGTGAACCCAGTGCTTTAGTTTTTCCTTATATGATGATCTCCTGGTCACTCTAAATTATGGTAAGCTAGATAGAGCACAGAAAGGAGGAGATAAACATAGGGGACAGAGAATACAAGTATAGGAGAAGGCGGGAACATGGCGGCAAGCAAAGGCAGCGAGCGGTCCCTGGGGAGGGAACAGGTGCACAGCCCTAGGCACCTCTGCAGCTTGGCAACTCTCCCTGAGGTAGATGGAGAGAGCAAGGGTACAGTCAAGGGCTGGAGAAACTGGCTTGCTCACACACACACATTTCCTGGAGAGTACACCTGGAGAGTGACAAGAGTTGAACTAAAAATGTAGTTTTTATCTTTTGTCAAACTTACAAATCTACCTATAATGCCCCCCCCAACTCTTGCTCTGAGTTTCAGATTCCCATCTGCTGTGCCCTTTGTATGGAGGATGCCAGGCTGGCTCCACAGTGGCTTCAAAGCAAGAGAGCTAAGGGTTGTCTCAGTGACCTCTGTCCGTCAGTCACTGTGATACTCATAGATGTGTGTCCCCTGTAAAATTTTCCCCAAAGCCAGTTAGCATTTTTTTTTCAAGCTGTAGCCAAAGGGCTTTTACCAATAGTGTTATCAAATCAGATGTTCTTTGTTTTCTTCCTATTAGACATTTTCTAGCCAGTTCAACCAGCCTCTCAAGTCTTGAAACAGAACAATTAGATGCAATCTTTGGTTCTTTCCTGGACTTCTCACACTGTACCAAACACCCCATGCTCACACTACCATCACACCAGGACAGGTACCTCATCTATTGAGGATCTGTCCATGGCACCCACCCTTCCTGGCATGAGAGCCAACCTCACAGCTCCAGTTCCCAAGCCTCATCAAGGCAATATCCCAAGTCCTTCATGTAGTAGCTGGCCCTCATAGCTCTGAGCAGTATGTTCTCAAAGTGCAAGGCAATTCAATACACCCTTCCACATCTCAGAGTGTACCCACTTCTCAGAGTGTCATTGCCTCCTTTTAGTTACTGTTTCAAGGGCTGCCCTACTTTTATCTTCTTTTTTGCTTGTTTGTTTTTCAAGGCAGGGTTTCTCTGTGGCTTTGGAGCCTGTTCTGGAACTCGCTCTGTAGACCAGGCTGGCCTCAAACTCACGAGATCCTCCTGCCTCTGCCTCCCCAGTGCTGGGATTAAAGGTGTGCACCACCAATGCCTGACTACTTCTAATTGTCTATAACAGAACAACATTCTCTTTCTCTCTCCAGCAGTAGAAGTTACAACAAATTATCAGTTGCTCTAAGGATGCAAGTGCTATCTTTACACACACACACACACACACACACACACACACACACACACACACAAAACAACAACAACAATAACAACAGCAACAAAACATGATATAGTCTTCAAAATACTTTTAAAAAACAAATTACAAGTGTAACAATCAAAAATGAATTTAAGAAGCAAAGTTAAAGTGCATGGAAGTCATTCTAAGGTTCTAGACGCCACGTGGAGGACCCTGTGGTGAGGAAGCAGCCAGGCTGGGGACCAGGGCAACGGACGAGAGGACAAAGGACTTCATACCATGCAGGACATACGCGTGGCCTCAGGTTCCCCAGGGTCTGGAAGCCAAGCCTCTCATGCTTTGTTTTACCTCCCCAGGATGAATTAAACCGTGAGGATACAACCCCTACAGACGCCTACAGCAGCACTGGACCAAGGAGGGAAACTGGGAAGATTCATATTTTTGAAGGTTACTGAGCTCGTGTCCATAAAAGGTCTGCCAATTGGCTTTCCACAAGTGGCCCGCTGCTACCCAACTGATAGTTGTGCAAAATAGAGAAGAAAAAGGAAATCTGAGAATAACTTTTTCCTAAAAATAAAAAGCTCAACAAGTGAAGCAACCCACTTCCTACGCAGCCTGGACAACAAGGTGGGGCTGGAGCTGCTGATCTGTTGAGCAGGCCCTCCCTTTGGGTCTGCCAGAGGAAACCACCTTAAAAATTCTAGAAATTCCAGGTCCAATGACCCTGGGCCAGTCTTTCCACCCGATCACAACCATGTGAAGCATGCAGTCACCATAGCCACACAGAGAATCAACAGCTAAACAGTCTCAGAAAGCACACAAGCCCTGTTGTACATATGTGGCTGGACCACTCAGGAGCACCCACCCCTCAACATAGGTATTCAGGGAGATGGCACCCGGGAGGCACACATAGAGGGTGCTGCAGAGGCAGGGAGATGAGACTCCATCCATCAGGGCTACTGTGAGCCAACCAGACTCGTGTCTGCCTCCTGGGTTCTGGAGCAGAAGCCAGAGGGCATTCCAGGGAGCGACATTCAGTGCAGCAGGGACACCAGCAGCCAGCAAAACCCATTCAGGGAGAGGTAAACAAACTCGGTGTGGCAACTTGACCTCCGAAGGATTTCTCAAAGTCCATCTCTGCTATGTCATCCCAGACTACTCTATGGCAGTCCACTGTCTGAGGCTACTCTTCCTCAAATGATGTATCTGTTTAACTGTATGTGTGTGTGTATGTGTGTACCCTGAGTGTATGTATGCCCACCACATGCTGCAGGAGCCTTCAGCCGTCAAAAGACGAGTCGGATCCCCTGGAACTGGAGTTACAGGTGGTTGTGAACTGCCAT